GAAATTAACAGTGCAACATTTGGATTCTACAATTTTTAGGTAAAATGAATGACTGCAATGAGTTTTATCAAATGTAGATTTTATATAAAAATAAAGAAAAATAAGTCTCTTTATTTTAAAAATATTTAGAAAAAATCGAATCAAAACATCAATAACTTAACATTCATTGTTCGTTATACTTAGTTAACTACTTCACCACGCGATTTCTAATTATTGGTCCTTGCCGTATTACTTGTTCCGCGCGTGAAGTTGATTAAGAAATCTTAATCTTAATTATCTCTTAAAAATGTATCTATTATTATCTGTAATTATTGATGTGGAAATATCATTTCCACAAATAAGAACACAGGTATGCAGCATTATGAATTTTGTTCACTAAAATTTTAGAGAAAATAAGTTCAATCATTTCCGAGAAATTATTAAATAAAAATGTTATTGTTAGTAAAAAATTAAATTATTTGTTTAATGAGTAACAAATCTATTTGAAATTTATATTTGTAAAATTTCGAATCTAATAATTTGAAACTCAATCTTTCTTTAAAAAAATTGGTCTAAAGAGTTTAGACAGTACTTCCCTCGCTGTCGGAAACTTGACGACTGCATGCCTATTGTGTTTTTTTTTCTCATTACATTTTTGTAGTGGGAATTTAAAAAAAAATGCGATGACGTCATCAACATTTTTGCAAGGACACGTATATCAGTTGGGATAGATGTAGTGTAATATAGTTGGATTAATGTATCTTTTTACACACGTGACCAAAAGCTAACGTCCGAACTAATAACTGTTACTTTGTAGTAATTAGTCAAAAAGATAGCAATGTTCATAACGTCAACATGACACAAATGTGTAGGCTCAGGCAGGTCTTTTGGTTTCGGTGCTTTCCGATTGGGTCGTGATTTTGTCGGACTGGGAAGAACGCAGAATCTTTCTTTTCGAGTTTTAATCTTCGAAACGGTTCGGCGAGTAACGCCTAGAGCATCTGCAACTCGCTAAAAATTTGAGCGAAATTATTAACCATGAACCTTCAAGTGGTTTTTACTTACTTACTTGTTCTGTACCATTTAATGAGATTAAAGGACCACCATTTTCCTTCTCAAGAGCAAAATACTCTATAAAGTTGGACACGATGTCCTGGGCACGGGAACTCAAACGTTTGCCCGCCATGTTGTAGACCAAACACGAATAAGAAATAAGATAACAAAACATAAAAAATAGGACAATGAAACAAGAATCCTAACAACCAACGAACTTTACGAAGAACTGAATAGAAAACTTAAATAGAACAACGAAAAACTGCGATTAACCACTCTGAGTAAAACCAAAAATGACAGTGACGTTTGTTGAAAAATCGATGAATTATTAACAGTCACTAGATTGACTACATCAGTGCCTGTCGCACTATGTGGACGCATTTATTGCGTATTTTATCTTTTTCTAATTCAAGGAACTTTGTGGAAGAGAATAACTGACGTAGAGCGTAATTTGGCCTAATTTCGGTAGACATACTATTTGTCTGGCTTTTCGTTTTTGTAATCCTTAAAACAAAGATTCTTATGGTAGGTGCTGTCTGAGCTTGTATGATACTTCGGTCACGTGTGTCAAAAGATACATGAATCCAATTATACTAACAATAAAATTATTGTATTCCCAAATTTTCGGGAAAATGAATTGGGTCGTTTTGAATATTGATTTGTTATAATCAATAAAATAACGAAACAATTTACTCACGTATACGGCAACTGAAAATCGTTTATGTATAAGCATTCTTAATTTAAGATGACAAGCGTAACAGCATACGTGAGAGTCAAACAGAGAAACTGTAAACAAAACCGATGGTCGTCTAGAAATTTGTATTGCTTCGACTTCCGCTTATTATATAAAACATTGGGTTTTATTTTAATTTTTGACGGTGGAATTCACAATTGGTTGATTATAAACATGTCTATTCCACATTCGCGGAACCTAGTCAGCGCACAAAACAAATGCATGTCTGTAATGTTAAAGTCGATGTAAATAAGCGTGCTACCCTTATGTTTCAACCGAATTTTTACTTTAAAAAATTTTGTGTCTACCAAATTGGGTTGGTCCAATATAATACTAATAATATATAAGTGTTGCCTTTAATTTAATCAATAAAATAAATTGACTTCATTAATTTTTTTGAGCCACCTCTTAAGAAAATCTAAAAAATATGAATGGAATGATAAATCACAAGTACAAACTCATCATATTTTTTGCATTTTAGATAGGATTTATTCAGCAAAATTTAAGGGTGACGTCATCAATATTTTAGGAGGGATGAACAAATACATTTTGAACAAAAGTTTACCATGCTTATAATAACTTTAAAATATCTCCAAGATTTCAAAGCATTCGGTTCTGTAAATCCTGATTAAACCAATAAAATAAATTAATGCATTCATTAATTTTTTTGAGTCACCCTGTATATGCAAATCCAAAAAATATGATTGGAATGATAAATCACAAGTACAGACTCATCATATTTTGTACATTTTAGATGGGATTTATTCAGCAAAATTTTGGAGTGACGTCATCAATTTTTTAGGGGGGAAGAGCAAAGACATTTTGATAAAAAGTTTACCATGCTTATGATAACTTTAAAACATCTCCAAGATTTAAAAGCATTCGGTTCTGTAATTCCTGATTAAATCAATAAAATAAATTGACGCATTCATTAATTTTTTTCAGTCACCCTGTATATGCAAATCGAAAAAATTTGAATGGAATGATAAATCACAAGAAGAGACTAACCATATTTTGTACATTTTAGATAGGATTTATTCAGCAAAATTTTGTGGTGGCGTCATAAATTTTTTAGGAGAGACGACTAAATACATTTGGATCAAAAATTTACCATGCTTATGATAATTTTAAAACATCTTCAAGATTTCAAAGCATTCGGTTTTGTAGTTCCTGAGTAAATCAGTAAAATAAATTTTGCGCATTCATTAATTTTTTTGAGTCACCCTGTATATGCAAATCAAAAAATATGAATGGAGTGATATATCACAAGTACAGACGCATCATATTTTGTACATTTTAGATAGGATTTATTCGGCAAACTTTTGAGCTGACGTCATCAAGTTTTTGGAGGGGATAACCAAATATATTTTGACTAAAGATTTATGGTGCTCTTTATAGCCTTAAAACATCTGCAACATTTCAAAACATTCGGGTTAGCAGATTCAAAATTAAATTGCAAAATGTTGTTTTATAATTTTGATTTTTTTTCCAAAAATCTGGACGTTTCGGGTAAAAACTGAATTCGTAGTCGTAAACTACATGTGTAGGACTATGTTATTTTATACAATTTAAGACCCATTTACTATGTACAATTTTGAAGTGACGTCATCGCATTAGTGGTGGGGATGATTAGACAAATTTTGGTTAGCGTTTTAGCATCTACATGATATTCCTAATATAAGTACAAAATTTCACAACAATCGGTCTAGTACTTTCGGAGATTATCTGTCTAATAAAAATCCGGGACGGCAGACGGACAGACGGACAGACGGACAGACGGACAGACGGACAGACGGACGGACAGACAGACGGAAATGGGAGACCTATTTCTTCGTCTTCTATATTCGTAGTTTTAATATTGAGGGTGAAATTATATGCATCGTTTCATTAGAAACAAATATGGTGCGATCAACAAAAGATGGACGTGCTAGATGTCTTTTTCACAACGAAAAATGAGGACAGTAAAATACATCATGATTTTTGTAGACGACGCCTTCATAATTCCCTGTGAATCACTGCTTATCGCACAAAAATTAATGGAAAAACCAAGATTTCTAAATAAATCTAGAAAGTTCTCCAAGTTAATTCATTAAGCATACACTTGTGACAGCATTATTTCACTTTCTGAGTGAATAAATAAATAAATATAAAAAAAATATAAAAAAACAACTCGAGGAAAGTATTTTGTGCTAACTTCATGGTATCTCATCACTTCTGAGTTTTCAGCACTCCTCTCTTTCTTATTTCTTAAAAAAAAATACAGAAGCAAAAATTCAGTTCAAAAAGCTAAAGCTACGTGGATCTTTTCTACTTCGAATCCATACAATATTTCTTTAATACTTGTCAGTATTTTCTTCTAATTCAGAAATAAGTAAAAATCCTTACATAACAATCTGCGTTAATAAAAAAAAGCTTATAAAACCTATTAAAGAAATATTTCAAAATATATAATCTAATTGCAAAATTTAGAACAAACACAGCATTAAGAAAGAGGATTTACACGAAACTTTTTCCTTATCTTTCAATGATATAAAAAGTATATCAACGGTAACCAAAAAAAAGGGGAATTCCCCGGAATTATCAAACAAATCGCAAGAGCATGTCTCGGTACAATTAAAAACTCTGAAAGGATCTTTGATTTTTATCTAAATTGTATTCTAATATATAGTTAGTTAGTGCAATAAACCAAACACAGAGCTAACTTTTTTAAAGAATTAGAATCCAAAAACCCAATACGGAGAACCGAAAGAATGCACATCTTAATAGGAATTTGAGAGCAATTATTATTAGGGCGAAATATTTTTCTTATTAATGAGATAGCGTGCTTAAAATTTGAGGACTAAGAGATCCATACCGACCACCTCGCCAGTGACCTCTACTACTCTGATCTGGTCTGCTTGGCGTTAATCTATCCTAGTCAACGCGATCAGACTGCCCGAGACACCTACGAACATGTTGGCATATGGCTAATGGAACTAGTTTTGAATTTTGAAAATTAACAATTAGGTTTTTGAATGAGTTATTTAGTACATTTGGGATATTGATTCAATGATTAGTTCATTGTTGCAAACTATCAATTTTGGAGCATCTTTTTTTGTGTTCTCAATATGATACCAAAGCCACAGTAGATCCAAAGCGTCGCAAAACCAATTGATAACAAAGAATGAGATAAAAATAGTACAGTATACAACTAAGTAGAGTTGATTTACCTCCTTATCTGATATCAGCTCATAAAAATTCAACAAATATATTACATTTCATCCAGTTATGTACGTTATGCTTGCAAACGAAACATGTGGTACTTGTTGTTCCTGGGTAGTTTGGCGAGAGCTGAAATTATTACGCTTACAACAGGAACAAATATAACGTGTGTCGCTACTGACAACAGCGTTAAGTCAACTGTTTACCTCAGTCCACCAATTAATTCAGGTAACTATAGTACGATTTGGCAAAAATAAATTAATTTTATTCACAGTTAGTAACATACAAATTTTCTGACCCCTAAAAGGTTGGAAAGTGAGCATGAACAAAATAGTATACAAACCTCGGCAAAAGTACCATTCCTGTGTCTCGAGAACTACCTACGCCTCTCGATAAACTATAGTTCTCTCGACAGAAATGGAAGACTTTCCGCCTCGGTATGTAATATACTATTAATTAATTTCAAAATACATCATTTCAATAATTTTGATGCTTATAAAACTAAAACAACAATAATACAGTCTCATCTTGTTTAATAATTTAGCCTAGATAAAGTAAAACTGATTATTATCATTTTAATTTTGTTGAGTAGACGATTTATTACTGATATGTACGTAGATAAGTAGAACAAAGAAGACTGATTGTGTTACACGTGTACAGATTGTTCGAAAGCGGCGTTAAGATTATTGTTGAAAAATTCTTTGACGAAGTCTAATAGGTCTACAGTTTATAGCAGTTATACACCCTATATATTTTTCTATACGTATTTCTGTGGAAAAAAGATCGCATTAAAAAATTCAAAACTCCACAATTTTTAAAGAAGTTGAAAACTATTGACAAAAAGACATCTGTGTTTGATATAATTTTATTCCTATTTAGTAATAATTCGAAAAGTGTACAAGAATAAGGGGTGACAGTTGGGACACCTTGTGATTTATCTTTTATTCACTAGTATGAAAATAAAGAAAACCAACGTCAAGCTACGAATTTCTATTGCAGACATTGACGCACGTTTATGTTATCACACCGTAAACCTTGTTTATATATTAATCACAGATAAGGAACCAACTGCCAGGACAAAATGTGATTAAATAACGTATGTCCTATCTACCCCTTTGCGTTTTCACCAAGCTCACACTTTTCATACTTCGACATTAATAAATATTAATTCCCCCCTCACAATATCACGAATTCGGTTGACGGTTTCCAGGTTTCATAAAACACCCGACTGAAATCAATGACTGGATTCACGATGATTGGGAAACGGTAAATTCGGTAAACATGAACCACAATCTAGTAATCGATAAACGCTGGGAAGGTATAAAATATATTATATAAAGAAAGTAGAACCAAAAAATTCACTGCATATGTCGCCAGGTTTTCAAATGCTTCACGAAGACACTGGTTACGCTCTAGATCAGAATTCCTTGTCGTTTTCCGTTTGTGTGACCGGAAACTTCTCCCTCAACGTCTTCACCTCAAATTTTTTAAAGGAAGGGTGGCTAGACGTTACACCACCGTACATTAACGTAAGCAAAAACGCTGATAAAATCGAGAATTTCCCCTAACCCTTGAATACCTAGTTCTCCACGAAGAACAACTCGTGCAGATGGTTCCACTACAGTCTCGTCAAACACGGTAACACCATCACGCTAATTTCGGCAGACAACGTAGAGAAGTTGTACAATGTGGATTTCGACCCGTACTGGATCTACGTCAAAGACCCAAATCGAAACACTACTTTCTGGAAATTACACAAATGTAACACTTGACAAACTAATTTCAACAAATTAAACTTAAAATCAATAATTATAGACAAGTTCAAAATGGCTACCATACCAACTCGAGAACAAGAAGAAACCAAACTGGCAGTCAATTTTACCGACAACCTATGCCTCTCGATGTACGTCTCGGTAGACACAAACTCCTACCTAGACATAATCCTAGAAACTAACACCAACGTCACTAAAAAAACAATCATCGGATTTAACGAAGACAACACATTAAAGGACTGGCAAAGAATCCAGCTCGAAGCACCGAGTTTCGGGGAAAGCAACATTTCGTTTTCCAGAGGCCTGATCAATGAAAAAGACCAAAAAGGCTACTGGGCAATCGACGAAATTTCTTTCTGCAGCAAAAACATCGGTAGAACTAAAACAATCTCGCCGTTGGTTTTATTCACCGAATTTATTTGCAGAAGTTCTCACCGCTTCGTCGCAAGATGAGGCTCCTGAAGACTACAGATGTGAAAGCTTAGAGCAGAAGGAGCAACTTGCCCAAGCCACAAACTTACACATGCTAAAATGCGATAAGCCGGGATTTTTGGGCAAGGACTGCAATGTTCCCTGTGACGTGGTACTAGGATCGTCGTACCCTCACTGCGAGAGTCACAAGATCTGCCAGGACGCGTCTTCGTGTTTTTGTAGTTGGGGCTATACAGGACAAGACTGCAACGAGAGTAAGGGAAAAATGTGATAGGAGCGGCTAATTATTTGTCTTTTTAGCATGTGGGAGTGGTACATGGGGCATGTTCTGCAAGAACAAATGTAGCGAGAAATGTGGGCGAAAATGCCATGGGTCTACGGGAAAGTGTTTGAGTCCGGAGGGTAAAAGTATTTGTCGCACTTTTTTTTATCTGTCTAAATTGACTATCTCTAGACCGCCTGGGCGAAACTCTACCCATAAATGTTACCATCACGGCAAACAAAACTATCATTTTTTGGCCAAGCATCGACAAAAAGCTTAAAGATGTGTGGTACGATGTCAAATTTGTGTGTGGGAGCAACTGGTGCAGAGGACAGGTAGTTGAAAACTACACCATCGGTATTCCTTCGGGAAATGAAGAAGTTTTTGAGTTTAAAAATTTTAAACCTCTTACGAAGTACCAAGCCAACGTAACTGTCTACGGGTTCAACAAATCGCTAGAGAAGCAGTACAAAATGATTAGAGCCGACAGTAAACCCGCTGGCATTTTTTAAAAAATATATTACATCTTCAATTTGTAGATGTCTATGTGATCAGAGACGTGTCAATTTTTAGTAGTACTTTTAGCAGTCTTTGGGTGAAATTCGGAGTCGCAGGTATGCCAGACAAAGATTCGTCTTACCGGCTTTGGTATCAGGAAATCGACTCCAAATCTCACCCAAACAACACCGAAAACGTATCTCGTTGTAAACTGTGGGACGGCTACATGTGCGCAAGAATTGACAACTTAAAAAAGGAAACGCTGTACGCTGTAGTGGTAAGTACATGCAACACTAAGACGATATACTTGACGAACGTTTCGACTATAGGTTGAGCGCATCAAAACACAAGATCAAACAGAGGCTTTGTCCGAAATATCCCTAGGCTTTACTAATGTATCCGGAACTGACGCTCCTGAAAATGTGAAAGTCGGGTGGGGTTCAGATGGTGAAGCTATCATTTCGTGGACCCGCCCGATGATCACAGATGAGCAAACACGAAAATTCCTGGTAGAGGTAAAATCCGCAGATAATGTTGTGAAGCATGTTGAGGTCAAGGAAAATCAAAAAACAGGCAGGTGCAAGGTAAGTTAATTTTGATCAAATTATCAAAAGGGAAAAATATTCCACAGTCAATTGTTGCTATTCCAGAGCAGAGATAAAGTCTGTTAATAATGACGCACATTTGACTTAAAATCTAACCTCGAATGTGTAAATTTAGGATATTTACGACTCGCAAATATGAAAACAGGGTCACAAGTTTCTTAAATGTAACTTTATTTTCCCGGATAACTAGATCTTTCTGAAATAAGGTGTTCTGAATCGTAAACTACTCGGTATATATTGGAATTTTAACGTGCACCGGAATAGGATGTCGAGTTCGAGCTACGAGCTAACGTTTTTCCATACCGACATCCGACACCGACACCAATCTGAACAGAGGTATATAAGAGAGAGAGAGAGAGATAAATTGGTGTGAATGTGTTAGTCCAAGATCCCAGGGCCCCCAGAAGTTATTTATTTTCTCACAAATTAAATGTATAGGATGCAGTCGGATTGGTATATACCTTGAATGTATGCATACCTGCTAGCTTGGGCCGACGGCGAATTTACAGGTACCAGGTGCTAAAGGTAGGTAAAAGCAGACTTACATTTCTCAAAATTTCAGTACTGATTTTTACGGTTGTTTTAGAAAATATTGTTGAAACTTAATAATTTAATTTAATGGTAAATTTAATAAAATATTAGTTTATTTTGCATGGTAAATTTCAAAATAATTCATTTAAATATGAATCATTATTATTATACAATAAGCTGTGATTTTTTGTCAATCTTCATTGTCATCATCATTGAAGTTTGATAACTCATCGTCAATCCAATAATGATATTAAGAAAAAATGGACAAAATACAAGTACCGCCCACCCACCCCTTTTCAATTGTGATGAATGCTTTATTCATCGTGAGGTGAACGGCGAAGTTTAGTTGCAAAATCCTCATTTCTCTACAAGACATTAACATATGAAATTCATGACAATTGAGATTGGGGTGGGTGGGTGGGGCTTAATCTTTGTTTTTTTTTTAATATATAGAGTTTTCTTTGAACAACAGGAAAGTTAAACATGTTTTAAGTTTCTTGTTGGGAAGAAAAGACTTCTTACATTAAGAAAAAATGGACAAAATACAAGCCCCGCCCACCCATACCTTCGCAATTGTAATAAATGCTTTATTCATCGTGAGCCGAAGGGCGGAGTTTGGTTGCAAAATCCTCATTTCTCCACAAGAAATTAACATATGAAATTCATGACAATTGAGATTGGGGTGGGTGGGTGGGGCTTAATCTTTGTTTTTTTTTTTTAATATATAGAGTTTTCTTTCAACAACAGGAAAGTTAAACATGTTTTCAGCTTCTTGTTGGGAAAAAAAGACTTCTTATGTTAAGAAAAAATGGACATAATATATGCCCCGCCCGCCCACCCCTTCTCTATTGTAATGAATGTTTTATTCCTCGTGAGCTGAAGGGCGGAGTTTAGTTGCAAAATCGTCATTTCTCTACAAGAAATTAACATATGAAATTCATCATAATTGAGATCGGGACGGGTGGGTGGGGCTTAATCTTTGTTTTTTTTTTTAATGTATAGAGTTCTCTTTGAACAACAAGACAGTTAAACATGTTTTCAGTTTCTTGTTGAGAAAAGAAGATTTCGTATATTAAAAAAAAATTAACGATCCGTTCGTAGTGATGACCGAATCTACCCATCCCTTTATCCTATACATTTTATTTGTGAGAAAATAAGTAACGTCTGGAATCTTGAGATAAGCGAAGACAAACACGTCGGAGGTCACCAATGTAGGTATGCGAAGAAAAAATGTTTGCTGCTTCGGTGCGTAATCGAACCGCACATATCCCGTTTGCCGGGCAGGAGCCTTGTCCACTAGGCTACCGAGCGACTGATCTTTACTTCGCTTACTCAGCTATTGTTGTGCCGCTAGAAATGTAATCATGACGCGCTGGATCGGCGGGACTCAATAACAAAAACGTAATTATTAAAACGACTAAGTAAATGAGAACGGGAATTAGCAGCAGAGTGCAACGATGATTATGATATTTCTGTATGATAAATAATCAAAAAACCAATCGTCATTAATCATCATTTTTTCAAAAAATACAAATGCAACGTATTTTTCGTTTTTATTATTTTTTAAGAGAAAATTAATGACTTCGCCGCGTATACGTGTTTAATTTATATAAATTGACAACGCAGAGTTAAAACTCCATCCGTGTGTCCCTGGGTAGACGCACTCTTTTTTTCATACACACTGCATTTGCACCAAAATGCGAAAAATTCCTTTCCAGAATGTGTATATTTTTCAAAACCTTGCATCATCAATTTAAAAACATATTTTTTATCGCTATTAACCGTATTGATCGATGATATATAGATTACATGTTGAGTGTCGTTTTTGAGACAACAAACATTCCACTCCCTCTTGCGAAATACTCTTCAAATGTGTTTACGAAGTAACTGCTAGTGAAAATTTTGCATTTATTGAAAAACATTTTGTGGTAAGCGAAGAACAATGTGCTGCCGCAGTGGGAATCGAACCACACGTCTCCCACATGTATTATATTCGTTTTATTTTAAAACCTTGATGAATGACACAAATATGAAAAATTCGCTTTGTTCAAAATACTCTTTGATCCAGTTAATCTTGGCATTGTTTATCAAGTACTTACAAAATATAAGCGATTGATAAATATTTGCAACAAGTGATCAGCGAACCGATAATTCTTTCAAAATGTTTATGAGTTGAGCATTAAAATTTTAGTGATACAATCCACACCTTATATCTTAAGTAGGCGTCAAGTTTATTTGCGATAGGATCTATAAGATAAATTAAAAAAATTCCAAGGTTTCTGTAAAAACCCAACTGAAGATATTGAAATAAGTTACACTTCAAAGGAAGTTAGGGATCGTATTTTCGTTGAAGATCCACCAACGCCGCAATTTATCTCAGAAATACATGTAATAATCCTGGAACAATCTCAGTAATTTGCAAAACTGTACCAAAGTACGAATGCAATTTTTTTTCTGGAAATTTAAACAAAATTATGACGGTTGTAAAATTAAATATAAATAGATCTAAAATATTGAAAGGATGATAAGATATGTGGCAAAAAATATTTATTTATCCCGTCACTCATAAACTCGTAAGCCGCCAATAATCCAAATTAATTGAAATTCATTATATGTACTAAAGTCATTTATTTTTTTTAAGTAAAAAGCGATACAAAATTAGAAACTTAAACAAGAGAACTTTTTACATTTACTTTTACTTACAAAAAATGACAACAAGGTTCAGTCGTGATTTTAGCGTTACTTTACATTTTATTTTTCAAAACGAGTGACGAAAGTGGCTGTTTTGTCACAAGTGTAGAAAAAGGGAAGGGACATCAGTTCTTTCCCCATCTTACTACCGAGAACAAAACACACTTTCGTCACTAATTTCATTTTCCTTATTGATTGAATTTTTTCGCTAAAGTCACGATTGATAAGTAAGGGAACATGCAAAGGTATGTACCTATGCATGCATCCCTTCGTTTGAACAATGATGTCTCTATTTGTAGCTTCCGGTAGAATACAATTCCTGGTACACAATATCAGTATGTGTACTTACGGAATACGAAGGGGAAAAGTACACAATAAATGCGACGTTTGTTCCCTTCAAGTTTCCGCTTTCATCAAATCGCCCCATAATAAAGATATGTGGTCAAACATGTCATTTACTGATCCCAAAACCCGAAAATCAAAAATACCAAAGGTAAGACGTTTCAAAAAACAACGCAGAAAATATTTGTTATTTAAACATTTATTTTTGTTATCTACGTGCGACAATATTTAACAAAAATTTCAGACGTAGTTTTTTTGATAAGCAAAAGTACGCAATAAATGTCCTCATTTTTGAGATAAAACTTACAATTTTTTTAGTTATTCCCAAATAGTGGGAGTTCCCGCCAAAAATAATTACACCAACATAATGAAATTGTTGGAGAGTAAATCAGATCTAGGAGAACACGGGTTGCTACGTTTGAACGTTACCGATTATGACGATAAATACTTCATAGCAGAGACAGGCACAGAGTCGATTTTCCAGCTGAACGGCATCAAAAATTACACACTACATTTTGTACACGAAAACAACGACGATTACTCCATTTATCCTAGACAAAATCTAGGGGAAAAAGAAGCAGACGGCAACCAAACGTTGTTATCATCAGTACCATTCTTAACATTATTTGTAACCATTTCTACCATTTTATTAGCGTTATTATCATTATTATTCTTACTGAAAAACGTTAAAAAACGAAGGTTCGTATGTCCGTTTTATGTTTGCAACATGTCTCACTACATCTCCGTTATTAATTTAGAACTAAATTCGATGAAGAAACCAAAATAGTAGGAGAAAAATTATTAAACCCTTCAAAGCAAGGTCCACAACAATTTACCAAGGTGGACGTCCGATTACTGGAAACCTACATCAAACAGGCGTTGCTCACCGGGAAGGACTTCATTGCACAATTTCGTGTAAGTAGCACCAATTTTTTTTTACTCAAACTAACACCCAACGTAGTCCCTCCCGGCAGCCAACAGACCCACGGTCCACGCCTTCCACAACAAAAACAAAAACAAGAACAACGAAAACATACCATGTAATCGAATTTGACCAAATAAAGCTTTTTTTTCAAAATTCGTATTTTTTTTAGATGACCATAATCGCGTCACTCTCGCAAAAATGGAAGGGCTGGGAGACGACGATTACATAAATGCGAGTTACATAGACGTAAATATGTTTGCCTTGTCAAAACCCGGTGTACCTTCTCCTATTATAGGGTCTCGATCGTCAACAAACTTACATAGCCGCTCAGGGTCCCAAATTTTACACTGTTCGTGATTTCTGGAGGATGATTTGGCAAGAGAACGTCCACATCGTCGTAATGGCGACGAATTTCATGGAAAACAAAAAAGTTGGTGTGTTTTATTGCAAACGAACGTAGCTAATTGACTGTTTTATGTGAGCAGAGGAAAAGCGCTGAGTACTTTCCCCAAAAATGCGGCGCTATTTTCGAGTGTGGCACACTCACGATAAAGTTAACGAAAGAGGAGGTTTACGAACACCACACTGTCAGAATTTTGGAAGTCTGTTACAAGCGAGCAGTCAGACAGATACAACACTTCCACTTGACGTGGAGTCCTGATAGTCATAGGCCTTTGTACCCGAACTGTATCGTACCTTTAGTGAAAACGATCCGCGCAATCCGCGAGAGTAGCGACCGGCCGATTTTAATCCACTGCAGGTAACAGTCCTGGACTTTACTCCGAAAGTACTAAAGTGATTGTTTCAGTTCTGGGTCCAACCGGACTGGAACTCTGATTTTGTGCGACTTAGCGCTCCAAATGGCACAGTCGAGCGACAGTGTGGACTTTTACTCGCTGCTAAAGACCATAAGAGATCAAAGACCCAACATGATCAGCAGCGAGGTAAAGTAAAACCTGCACTGAGATAAAAACTTTTGCAAAGACAGTTTCAGAAACAGTACATTCTGGCACACTTGGTCGTGCTCGAGTGCCTCATGGAACACGAAAACGTGTTCAAAAAGTCGTTCAGAGAGAACTTGCACTTGCCAGTGTTTAAGGAACAGTTGAACTACGTGGCGAGACTCGCGTGGCACGACGACGTCGTTGAGCACTGGGCGTCGAGACGCAGTAATTCCAGCAGCTACACGTTTTTAAATTATGCAGGTACTTTAAGGCCAAAAGCGTGCACTTTCCATTTACTTTGTCTAAAATTTAAGTGGACGGCTACAACACGAGCAAAAAATTTTTGACGGCGCGGTCGCCCTCCAAGCAACTGATTTCTAGTTTCTGGAAAATGGTGACCCAAGAGAAAATTCACTTGATTGTGCTGCTAGATCAGGAACAAGACAAGGTAAAGGAAATATTCGAAGTCCAGGTTTTAAACGCACCGTTGTAGATGTGGCCATACCAAAACGTGAGCAATAACACGCTTTGGTCAGTCAAAGAGGTCAAGTCGTGGAAAACCACCTACTGCGAACTCACGAAACTGTCGCTGAAGGTTTCCCGATTACCAACGAACAACGTATGAATAAATCGCGCGTTTGTAAAAATTTTCAACGTTGGGTTTTAGATTATACACGAACAAACGATTTGGTTGATCGAAATGGACAATTCCCAGCACTCCGAAAACACAAACTGGTTTCTTAACATCATAGACGATTTGAATAAACTCAGTGACTCGAAGCCCATTCTAGTGATGTGCCAGTGAGTATTTTGTCGGTTTTCCACCCAGTCTTGAAAATTTTTAGTTAACAGTGACGGTGTCAGAAAAAGTGGTATATTCGTTACTTTAGACTACGTAATCGAAAAATGCAAGAAAGAGTTCGAAGTGGACGTCTGCAACGCCATAAGAAACGTCAGACGGAGCGGCTTACCTTTCGTCCAGAACCCTGTAAGTTTGAATACAGAAGCGGCTTCACTTTAATGTCAAAAATATAACGTAATTTTCAGAATGAAATGGAATTTCTGTACTCGACGGCTCTACAATATTTACAGAAGTTTGACGCGTACGCTTGCATATTATAACCGTTATAATACATCTTAAAATGACACGAAGCACGGGCTGCAAAGGATACGAAGACAATTGCAGCCGGTCCGGGCACAAAGCTGTCAGACTTCCGGAAGGAGGCAGCTTTTAAGGAAAATACTCTCTAGGCTTGTGCTGGCCGCTCCTTTGCAATAATTTCAGATATTATAGTTTAAGCTTTGTCTGTTATTGCTATACTAGAATCGCCGAAAGGGAAAGTCGCGTCTGACCAAAAAGAACGCTAGGTTCGGTGTTTGATCGCGTGATTTTATTCGGCGGTTCAAGTATAGTTTAATAATAAAACCCACTACGTGAAGAAATTTGAAGCGTATGACGATTTTCGTAATGACGTCATTGGTGAAAAGCCGAAGAAGAGGGACACGATTTTAACCCAACTTTCGTATTTCGACATCAACTAGAATCACGCGTTTTTGTTGTTTGTTTGTGTTTGTTTTTAGACTTACTGTGAACTTATTCATAGACCTAAGTGTTTTTCTTTTATCTATATACTTAATGTTACTCTGATAGTCTGAATAAGTTTGATAAGACACTTACAGGCTAGATGGTTTTGTGTAAAACTGCACAATAAATTGAACCAGTGGTGGATCGTGAGGTTTAAGCCGATATTAATATTAATATTAATAATAATAACCTTTACTTTCAACAGGTTAATAACGCAATTACAGAAAATATAAACCAAAGTAAACTTAATTTACAATCAAGAATGTGTACAAAATAAAAAGAAAACAAAAAAAACAATAAATGTAGCAAAATAATTAATAAATATAAAATAAAATAGTTAACAGTTTAACACATTTGTAACATTTCTTCTTTTGAGTCAATGCTCATAAATAACTTAAGATCATCCTCTGCAAAGAAAAGCGTTTCAGATGAAATAACACTCGCCAGGTCGTTGATAAAAATCAAGAATAACGAAGGTCCCAGATGGATTGGAGCCCTGAGGCACTCCAGAAGTTGGTTTAAAAGTGTGAGACTTATGATTTCGATATTTGACATATTGCACATGGTTAAATAGGTATGATTGAAATAATTGCAAGAGATAATCTGAAAAACCAAAATATTTAAATTTATCAATCAGAAAAAAAAATATCTGTCCGATCAAAAGCCTTTTTTCTTTTTTAAAATAAGTGATTGTCTAGTGTAAAGACAACATTGAGCTCTATGGGGAAGAACCGGCCATTTTTGTTTAAAATTTACATTTATCAAAATATTTGCTTTTTAAAAAAATATTGAATAAACAAAATACATAACGTGAAACTAGGCAACCCTATTTACAAAGGATCCGTTTCAATCATTGGTTGAGTTTGACACAGCAGAGAACCTTGCAGTTATTTTTATGTTTTAGCAGCATTGTGCTCTATTTTCTATTAAATTTGCATATTTTTAGTCACAATTTTGGTAGTTATTTTTTACTTTTACTTTTGACAATAATAAATAATCGAAATTTGAAAAAATCGAAAAAATAAAAATTGGAAAATCGAAAATTTAAAAATCGAGAAATTGAAAAATCGGATCATTGGAAAATAGAAAAGTTAAAAAAAAAGATGGAGAATCGAAAATTTTAAAAATCCCGAAAACTGAAAAATTGAAATATAGAAGAACCGAAAACCCGAGACATCAAAAATCTAAAATTTTAAAAATTGAAAGATTAAAAGTTGAAAAATTGAGAAATCGAAATATAAGGCAGCCGAAAATTGAAAAATCGAAAGTTTAAAAACGAAAAACTGAAAATCGGGAAATCCAGAAGTCGAAAAATCGTACGCTTATAAAATCGAAAAATTGAAAAATCAAAATCCTGAAAAATCGAAAAATTGAAGAATTGAAGAAGTGAAAAATGGAAACTTTGGGAAGAAATGGGAAAATAAAAAAAAAAGATTACGTCAGAAATCGGAAGACTGAAAATTTAGAAACGTCAAAATTTGAAAAATTCAAAAATTGAAAAATCGAAATATTTAGAAATCGTAAAATTGAAGAGGATAAAAATTGAGAAATTGTATCATTGAAACATCGGAAAATTGAAAAATCGAAAAATAAAAAATGGACAAACCGAAAATTTGAAGAATGGAAAAATTGAAAATGCCCAAACTTGAAGTACTGAAAAATTGAAACGTCTAAAGTAGAAAAATCGAGAAATCTAAAAGCCGAATAATCTCAATAATGTATTTATACCTAAACCACAAGTTCAGGATTATGCTATAGACAAAACTGTGGAACTTCCTTGTCCACTTTGTGTATCTTATATCTGGAAATCTAACCTTGAAGCGTTATATTCTGCCTCGATACCTTTGGCTAGGAAAAAATACGATCAACTGCAAGGACTGAAGTTGTTCGTGTCGGAGGAGTTTCAGTCATTTTAAGTTAAGTTCTGTTAATAATAAACTGAGGAATGAACGAAAACAATTTCAGTATTAATAATTTTATAACTCTTCCGTAATGTAGTCTACTATTTTATATAAACAAAGACAATTTGTAAGTATATTTTATTTTCCAAAATTCTGAAAATAGGCCTCCTTTTAACATTTATTTTAAATTGTTGCAATTAGAATCAAGTTTTTTGAGAATATGCACCAATTTAGAAGCTTCTGATTCAAGACGACGTAATCTGCACCACAGTACAAATAAATTTTGTTTATCAACACATTGCGTGTATAAAAAAATAAATTTCGTAATTCCATAAATCAGTAAATAAATTTGGAAAAACCCACGTTCTATTTACTTTAATCAGTAATCTACCGTCAAACATTTACACAACATGATTCACATTCTTATGCGTTTGTTTACCTTTGTGCGCATTTAACTAAGTTCAGACCATTTTAGGCCAGTGCCGATAATTTTTGAGCACAAAAAAAATTAGAACAGGATGATACCCATTGCAAAAGAAAGAAAATATAACAAAAATAAAAGGAAAGATAATTTACGGGCGATCTGAGGTCGGGAAGTGGAAGAGGGGGAGCTTTTAAGGGTAGAAAACGGTTTATCACGATTTCCGGCAAAACTACAAGTCCTATCGCAAAAAGTTAAATAGCAAAGTTATAGATAATAAAAAGATTTACAACTTTTGTATTTACACTTTCTTTACATAACCTCAAAATTTATGCGAAAAATGCAAATAACCGAGTTTTTGGTTTTTTATTTTTATCTCCCACAAAAAAATTTTTTTTTTCGCGAAATTTGGTGAAAACTTACCTATTTATGTCCCAAACTCACTGTAATTTTATTCAAAATATTTATTTTTTCGCCTTATTTTGATTTAATATCGAAAAGCTACCCTAATTTTCAATCGAAAATTCTCACGTCAAAATGTTTGCTTTTTGAAAAAATCCGTGTGCTTTTGTTCGTTGAAATATCTAGTTTCTGATGGTGTAAAGAAAAGTATACATTACTATGGCAAATTTTCACAGGAAATCCAAAAAAACGAAACAACTCGAATTCGAAAATTTTTTTTAATCATGTAAAATTTTGAGATATTTATTAAAATTTACACTTTAATTACTCGAAAAACGTAAGATTCCATGTTACACTGATAAACCAAAAAATTGAAAATCCATGAAACAAACGCCTTCTGTTGGTGGGAGATTTGTCAATATGAAAGATGATTTAATTCTTGCCAATTGATTTTCGAAATCTTAATTGATTCAAGGTTATATTGTCATTTATACATTTATAAATATATTTGATTAATTGTAATCCATTTTTTGCGATATCTTCTTTGTTTGCATGTTTTTTATAAAAAATATTGGCCAAATTTGACAAATTTTTATCGTCTAACTAGCAGACCCAGGAAACGTTGTTTTGCCATATAAATTATTTCTAGTGAATATTTTAGTAGATAAATAAAAAATTAAATTAAAATAAATAAATAAATTATAATTAAATTAAATTATAAATTATACATAAAAATTTACACACACTGTGACACTAGAATTTTATATACTTATTAGAAGACAATGAATTTATGATGTTTTTCTTCAATTGATTCAAAAGGACCAAAAAATCAATATCTTGACCCACAATTATGACAGTTTTATTAGTATCTATGGCACTTTCTATGACGATCTTAATTATGTCAGCATCAGCATCTTCTTCTGCTTGTTTACAGGAAAATCCTTGTGACTGTAGATTCCAAAAGTTTCTTTTAAATAAGTCAATTTGTCACGATTCTCTTCAACTAACTCAGCCTGCACGTGTATTTTTATAAACAATGTTGTTCATTCTTCTGATTGGCTAAAATTTTCCGTAGGCCATTCAAGTATATAAGTTATCTTAAAATAGCAATAAATAGGCACCTATGCATATTATTTAAAAATTATCCTACAACTTTAACAAAATATTGTAGATGTCTTATAAAGTATTAAGTTTATTAACTTATTTGGTTGTTAATTATAGTAGTATATATCGATTTGCAACTTTTTAATTTATCAATGTAACATGGAATCTTACGTTTTTCGAGTAATTAACGTGTAAATTTTAATAAACAGCTGCAAATTTTACATAATAATTAAGAAACAACTTTTTGAATTCGAGTTTCTTCGTTTTTTTGCATTTCTTGTGAAAATTTGCCGTAGTAATGTATAATTTTTTTACACCATCAGAAAGTAGAGATTTCAGCGAACAGAAAGCACACCGATTTTTTTAAAAAACCAAATATTTTGACGTGAGAATTTTCGATTGAAAATTAGGGTAGCTTTTCGATATTAAATCAAAATAAGGCGAAAAAATAAATATTTTGAATAAAAAAAATTACAGTGAGTTTGGGACATAAATAGGTAAGTTTTCACCAAATTTCGCGGAAAAAAAAATTTTTTTGTGGGAGATAAAAATAAAAAACCAAAAACTCGGTTATTTGCATTTTTCGCATAAATTTTGAGGTTATGTAAAGAAAGTGTAAATACAAAAGTTGTAGATCTTTTTATTATCTATAACTTTGCTATTTAACTTTTTGCGATAGGACTTGAAGTTTTGCTGGAAATCGTGATAAACCGTTTTCTACCCTTAAAAGCTCCCCCTCTTCCACTTCCCGACCTCAGATCGCCCGTAAATTAATTTTCCTTCTGTTTTTGTTATATTTTCTTCCGTTTCCAATGGGTATCATCCTGTTCTAATTTTTTTTCACTTTTTACCATTTTCAAAGGCTTCGGCACTGGCCTATTGTTCTTGACGAAAATGACTACTTCTATTTAGTCAATTAGATTTTTTTCGAAAAATTACGTTGGCCAAACCGTCAAGACATACGTATTTCCACGATTGCAAATATTTGCACACTCGCAAATCATACTGATAAAATGTAGAGGTTTACTTAAACTTCCTCAAGTTAGTCAGCATGTCTGTGCGTTTGTGCCTGTGTTATATTTTTATTGCCACATTTGCGATTCACGGAAATGAAAACGTGTTTAGTTCGGTGGCTGCCGATGACAAAATTAATGCAAGTCGTTGCAAAGGTTCCGATACTAGCGTTGGCGAGCTGAGTTGCCACAAAAACCCACAAAATCTAGCAACGTGCGACCTCACTCAAGATCGGGACACAAAAAGCGGCTTTGTGTTATGTGCCGGAGAAAACGGATGGGAAGAGAAACAGGACTATCTGTCAAACATAAACGACGAACTATGGAAAGGTACAGCATGTTTGTTTAAACGTGACTACCGAGAATTGCGCGCCAAAGATTTTAAATTTCATGAATGAACACATTTTTTTTAAGATTTGCCAATTTTCGAAAATGAGCTGGACGTAAGTGGCTTGGAATTAAACGCGATGTACCTTCTCTTTGTATGCAGTCAGGGTGATTTTACGTTGGATGACATCGTCGTGATAAGTAGCCACCCCGATAAGTTATCCGACGATCTACTAATTGAATGCAAAAACTGGAACGACTATACGCTACAGAGGTTGGATGGTGAATTTCGAATACGAGATGGCAAAAGTAGGGTCAAATATCTACCTGTGGCTAGTCATGACAAACCACACCTTTCAACAAAATCAACAAAATCAAAATCTTTCTGGAAACTGCAAAAAAGCAAGTGAATTTGACGAGTTTAATTTAAAACGGACACTTTTTTGTAGAGACAGTTATAGAAGCTGACAAGCAAAATAGCCATTCGTGCGTGATCAAGACAAATTACCACGGAAAATTAATTTTGAGCATGTTTGTGTATCTTGGAAGTGGAAGTATTTTAAATGTTACGGTAGCATCCGGTGGGGGAAGCATTTCTACAATTTTTCAAAATCACTCTCGGTGGACGAAACATGAACTCACATTTTGTTCCGATGAACAAACAAATGTTACTATTGGCCGAAAATTCGACAGTTCTTCTTCTAATAATCGGCGGTATTGGGCTATAGATGAAATTAAATTTTTCACAGGTAGATAACTTAATTTTGTTTTCGAGTCATTGTGGGGTATTTTAGGCAGCGCCGGTTCCATTGATTACAGTATAAGAAGAGAACCTAAAAACCCAGTCGTGCTGGAAGCCCCAGTACTGGAACACATTTCTGATAACTCCATAACCATACGTGTCAAGAGCTTTACGTACGCTCCCCTCCAGCCGAAGCAACGAAAATGCATAATCCAGTACAAACAAGTAAAAATTGACATTAAAGGTGTTGGTTCTTGTAATTTTTAATACTTTTCAGGAAAACGAAGTCGATTTTAAAAATTTTAAAATATATAATAGCTCCAAAGACCTACTTTCCAAATCGTTTGTGATCCGAAGTGTTGATACAATAAATTCCCGGTATAAAATACGAATACTATTAATTAGCTCATATCGCTACTACTCAGATCAAAGAATACCTGAGCTGATCACACCCAGAAGTAAGGTGTCCACTTGTAACTTTTTTTCATTTTGAATGTGATTACTTTCAGAATTACACTTCTCCCAAGTAACAAACAACAGCTTTAGATTAAGATGGTTTCCACAGAAAAACGAAATATTCCGATATCAGTTATCGGTATGCTTTAACACACACTTGCCCTGAATTTACATTTTAAAAAAATGGTCACATTTCAGTGTACACAATCGTTCTGCCAGCATACTGAAACAAGTGTGCTTTCCGATTCTGTCAAAGAACACTTAAAACCTTCAACAAACTGCACAATATTGGCCTACACTTTTGAAAGTAAGGCACGACAGTTTTATGACGAAGTCAGTGTTACCACACTTGCAGCCACGACCATTGACGACAATGAAATGCCTGATAATATTACCTACGACCAGAATAAAACAGTGATTTCGTTCAAGGACTGCTCAAAATTTAGTGGACCCATAACTTACACTTTTATGTATGAGTGCGTCAGCGCTTGGTGCGAGAACAATGATGGTAAGAGTTTTACGTACCACATGGAAGTTTACAAAAAAAATATTGAAAGGGATATAGCGTTACAAGCGTTTACAAATTACAATATAACAGTAACAGCGGCAAGAATAAATGATCAGTCAAAAATATACGAACTTCAAACTGCTCCAGACAGTATGCAACTCAAAGTTAAAATCTACAAAAGTATAACATAATTTTGTAGCACCCAAGGAAGTTCGAAACTTGACAATTGACTGTCGGAGTAGTAGTACCGTCCGGTTACGATGGTTACCACCGGACCCACCAACCGGTCAAGTGTCAAGATACATTATCTCTCAAGGGAACTCAAAAATACCACTAGATAATGACAACCGTGACACTTTCGTTTCTACAAACATACTACTAGAAGCTAACGTAACTAATATTGAGGTTCGAGCCAAAAATCGAAATGTCGAAAAATCGGGAGCCCCCAAGTCTGTTGAACTCTCCTCTGTGCCCCTGGGTTAGCTACACAACCATTTATTCTTATAAATATTTATTATGTTTTAGTAAAAGACATTCTGCAAAATTTCACTGTAGTACCATCTCCAAAAATATCATTCAGGTGGCACCGCCTAAACAACCTCTCAATTCAGGTCCAAAACGAAATTCTACAAGATTCCAACGGCGAATTTAACGTAAGTCAATTCAATCAGTTTTTGTAAAATGTTCAACGATTTTTCAGATTTCAGTTGGCAGAGAAGACAAAGTGAAGTTAGTCGTGTCGAGTGTAAACTGTCAAAGCGAACAAGTAACTATTGAAGTGGAAACGAAGCCTCCAGAGTTTAATTTGTCGGGGAACCCTATTATAAAAGTATGGTCAGAAACAAACTATGAGTTACACGTACCGACACCAGATGGTGCTACAACCGAAAGCACAAATTTTACTATTTTAATTAACCCTGACGATGTGAACTCCAAATGGACTGTACCAAACCTACAAGAACAAAATGGTTACGTTAAAGCACAAATCCCTCCTAATGTAGCGGTTTTTCTGAAGAACCAATCATACGAAATGTTTCTTCAAGATGTCAAAAGTGGTGAACCCTATCCTTTGCTTCTGCGACGTTCGAACACCGAAGAAGACTGGAGCTCCTTTCGAAAAGTCACTAGTTTATGTTTAATAATAATTAATGCAGTCACTTTAACTTGCTTGGGATATCTTATTCTGGCGTCTGTTGTTACACTTTAGGTGACACTCGAGTCTATGGGTGTGTTTTAGGTACATCTATGAAAAATACCCGTTCAACTTAAATAGGGAGGCACGTCACCGACAAGAAGGTTATCAGATGGCGACTTTAACGCACTTTCCGAACATTATAAAAGGCAGAGCTTGAAACAAGTTCGGAAGAAACTAGATTAGATCCAGGGTTTTTATGATTTTCTCCATGTTTCGAATATTGTCCCAAGAGCTGTATCAAAGGACAAAGGCTATCCCTCCTGGGCCTCCAAATGATATAAATACGTAATGACGACCTGTTAGTACAGTATTTCATTAGTAGAACCTTGTGAAAGTGAAAACAAACTCCGGATCATAGAAAAACCTTTTAAATCTTTTTTGAAGTATTATTATTTTTTTGACTTCTCTTAATTCCATAGAAATTTCCTAGTAACGATTATAATAATAATAATAATTTAGTTTCGTATTTTTGCACTTAAATTGCTTATACACGTCATTAAAATATACCTATACATGAAGTATTATCTTAATTACAACTTTACACAAAATTCTTATGACAAAGATTTTAGTCAGACATAAAAATTCTTCGTAATTGTAGAAAACCTTTTTAATTAAAAAATATTTCATAAAGCTTTTGAATCTAGGCAATGTCAAGCTTTTCACCGATTCTGGTACTTAGTAGACAGACAATTAGGTCCAATTTGACACTTTTTTAAACGATGATAGGGTGTAATTATTTGTGATTTGTTTCGTGTATCATCACCGTGAAAACAGTTATTGCAATCGTATTTACTTACATATATTTTCTTTTAAGGGGGAACGCTAGACGAGAGACAAGTTTGAATTGGGCGCCATTTGTTGCCTTAAACGCAACCAGCAATTCTTTAATTTACCTGACGCGCTGGGATAGACGACTACCAGACGTGGGTCATAAAAGTATCCTAAACCGATAATGCAGAGTAATGATAATTTATGACCGGCCCACAACATACCTTCAGCACAGAATAATCATTTCTCGTATTCTTTTGACATATTAATTTTAATATTCGAGATAATTATTATATTATTCAAACACAATTTAGACACTGCAGAGCAAACAAGGCTTATCAAGCCCGTCTATTACTTTATTCGCCTAAATGTATTATTAATACCGTTTTCAAATTACACCAAAAATTGAAAAATCGGAAACTTAATAATTGAAAAATTGAAACATTTTAAATGAAAAAAATCGGTAAATCGAGAAATTGAACAATCTAAAAATTAAACAATTTATAAATCGAAGAATTGGAAAACCAAAAAATCTAAACCGAGAACTTAAAAAATCGAATAATCGAGAAATCAAAACATCAAGCAAAACAAAAAAATTAACGGAAAATCTAAAACTTAAAAATTGAAAAATTGAAAAACCGAGAAATCGAAACATCAAAAAATGGAAAAATTGAAGAACCGAAACATTGCAAAATCTCAAAACTGAAATACTGAAAAACTGAAAAATGGAAGGAAAATTGAAAAATCGAAAAAGTGAAAAAATTCAAAACTGAAATCTTGAAAAACTGAAAAATGGAAAGAAAATTGAAGAATCGGAAAAGTGAAAAAATCCAAAACTGAAACATTGAAAAATCCAGAAATCGAAAAATTGAAAAATCACAATTGAAGAAAGAATTGAAAAATCAAGCAATAGAGAAATGGGAAAATCAAAAAATCAGTTAATCGAAAAATTGAAAAATCGAAAAATTTAGAAACGTCAAAAATTGAAAACTGAAAAATAAAAAAATTAAAAATCGTAAAACTGAAATATCGTAAAGTTAATAAATTGAAAAACTGAAAATTTTTGAAAAAAAAATCGTATCAAAAACTAAAAATTCAAAAAATCGAGAAATCGAACAATCAAAAAATCAAAACATTGAAATCCCAGTAAGTTGATAAATAGGAAAATTTAAAAAACAAAAATTTTAAACATCCAAGAATTGAACAACAAAAAAAATCTAAGCCTGAAAACTCAGAAAATTGAATGATCGAAAACAAAAAATCTAAAATTTAAAAATCATGGAACTGAAAAATCGAAAAGTCGAGATAGTGAGAAATCTAAAAACCTAAAACTTTAAAAACTGAAAAATTAGAATATCGAAACATTTAAAAACCGAGAAAACACAATATCAAAAATTTGAAAAATTGAAGAAACGAAATATTGCAAAATTCCAAAGCTGAAATATTGAAAAACCTAAAAATGGAAGGAAAATTAAAGAATCGAAACAGTGAAAAAATCCCAAACTGAAACATTGAAAAATTGAGAAATGGAAAAACGGAAAAATCAAAAAAATTGGTCTAAAGAGTTTAGACAGCACTTCCCTCGCTATCGGAAACGTGACGACTGCATGCCTATTATGTTTTTTTTTCACATTAGATTTCAAAGCATTTGGTTTTGTAGTTCCTGATTAAATCAATAAAATAAATTTGCGCATTCATTAAATTTTTTGAGTCACCCTGTATATCCGAATCCAAAAAATATGAATGGAATGATAAATTACAAGAAGAGACTCATCATATTTTGTAAATTTTAAATAGGATTATGCGACAAACTTTTGAGCTGACGTAATCAATTTTTTGGAGGGGATAAGCAAATATATTTTGAATAAAAATTTATTATGCTCTTTATAACCTTAAAACATTTGCAAGATTTCAAAGCTTTAGGTTCTGTAGTTCCTGATTAAATCAATAAAATAAATTTGCGCATTCATTAATTTTTGGGGTCATCCTGTATATGCAAATCCAAAAAACATGAATGGAATGATAAATCACAAGAAGAGACTCATCATATTTTATACAATTTAGATAGGATTTATTCAGCAAAATTTTGAGGTGACGATATCAATTTTTTAGAGGGAATAACTAAATATATTGTGATTAAAACGGTCCTGGTTTAATAAGAAAAAAATATTGTTCGTCTATAAAACAAGCTCGTCTTAGACAAAGTATTCGTAAAAAAGTATGTCGTAAAAAAATTTACGTATGCTGGTCCCGACTGCGATTATGGTTTAAATATTTTTTAGAAAATCCTGTCATGGATGTAGAAACATTTGTGACAGCCAAAGAGGTTTTTTTAAGAAAATTATCTTTGAATTTAGACCAAACTGAAATAGACACTAGGCAACAGGCACATTTGGGCAAAAGAAAGAGAAATTAGGGTTACGGCTTCAAATTTTGGACGTATTTACAAACTTAGACCGACTACAGCAATAGCTAAAACTGTGGAGTCTCTGTTGTATAGTACATTTAGAGGTAATAGCCATACATACTATGGACAACAAAGTGGGGAAAAAGCTGTCAAATGTTTTGAAATAAATAAAAATATAAAAACTGAACGGTGTGGCTTGTTTATTTCAAAACAATTTCCTTACTTGGCTGCTAGTCCAGACGGGGTTCTAGAGAATAGGAGTGCATTAGTCGAAATTAAATGCACTTCAAAATCGCAAAATTTGTCTCCCGAAGAAGCGGTTAGAAAAAAAATAATCAAATTTTGTACATTGACAGACAGAGAATTGAAAGTAAAAAAAAATCATGATTACTACTTTCAAGTCCAGGGACAAATGCTTGTTACGGGTATTTCACAAGTTTATTTTGTTGTATGGACACCCAAAGGAATAAATATAGAAAAAATTTATAAAGACGAAAAAATATATGTAAAAAGATGGCAGATAAACTTGGCAGATTTTACTTTGGCGCATTATTGCCCGAAATATTTAATTGATTCAAGAAGAAAGAGGAACCTGCCTTTGCGAGAGATTTTTTTAAATAAATAAAATTTGTTTCTATTTTTTTATGTACTTTAATAATTTAGTACATTTTTCATCACCAAGACTTGCATATTTTTATTATAAATATATTCTGAAAATGATCTCTCGGCAAATGAAAACATATACGAACACTTTTTTCGAGTAAACAATGAAGGGAGAAGTTACTGGGCGTAGGGCTTTTTTAAAACACCTCCTTTCTGGGATAAGTAGTAGATACACTTAGCTACTTATACGTGTTAAACAAAAGCTGTATTTTATATATTTTTTATTATTATTATAAATATGTCTATTAGTTTTATTAATTAACAAAGCAAAATATATATTAACAATAATATTACAACGAATTTTTAGTAATCATGTGTATTGAATTCAGGATCCTGAGTGGAGTAAAAATATTATAGTTTCCCAGTTTTAATTCGGTTTTATGATAGTACCTCATTGCGTAAAAGTTAATTTCCTTAACAATAGATTACTAGGGCCGGTCCTGGCGGCTTGTTATAAAACTGAGTTCCTTGCCATAAATTAGAAAAATCAGCCGAGAACTGTAACAATCAGCTTATGGTAGACCAGGCGATAAGGGTTTTACCTGGAAAGTCGCTTCCGTAAATTTTAGTGGCGCTCCTGTCGGCAAAGTACTGAACTAACTGCTCAAATTCTGTCGAATTGATACCCATTTTTTTCAATAATTGTTAGTTTTTGTTAAAAACTCAGCTAACCAATAGATCATTAATTTTCCTCTGATATTCCTGTTAAAATTATTTGACGTATTTTGCATTAATTTGTGGTGTATTTTGATTTTAATAAACACCTTATTATTTAAACAAATTGTACCACTAACAAACATTTAATGACTCTGCGCCCTGTAAAAAGTGATGTTTTATCCATGTGCGAATTTTCAAGCGATTCTATGATGGTTATGACTCAAAAAACTTGAAAAGAAAACATACAATGGTGCTTTTTTTACGATATTTCTCAGCCATATTTTTTTAGTTGATTGAACTGGTCTCTGCGCTCTAGAATATGAAAATAGCTGCAGTTTGATGTATGATACATCTATATTAATATCATTTTTTCATACAAGAAACCAAAAAAATGTTTTGCCATTTTCCAGATTTACTCATTTATTCTTTTTTACGCTTGTAATTTTATCTTTCAATATATGTATTAAAATGTAGCAGCGTTTAATTATTACTACCTCTTCCCCTACATACAATTTAGCTCTTCCATTTCCAAGAAAATGGACCTACACCCAAATAAATAATTTTCTTATTGTCCAAATGCTCGGTCGCGGTGAAAAACAATTTGGGCAGGACACAAAGTCGGTAATTTTTGATGTCAGAGATATTTCTCTTCTTGAACACACGACATTGATGCTACTTTCCAAATACTAGGAAAAAAGAACACTTTAATATTAAATTAAATAGAAAAATCAGTAAAGCAAAAATAAATTTGGAAAAACTCACGTTCTATTTTCTTTAATCAGTAATCTAGCGTCAAACATTTACACAGAGTATGATTCCCGTTCTTACGCGTTTGTTTACCTTCGTGCGCATTTAACCAAGTTCACACCATTTGTCTTGACGAGAATGATTAGATTATTTTTATTTAGTCAATTCGATTTTTTTCGACAAATTACGTTCGCCAAACCGCCAAGACATACATATTTCCACGAATGCAAATATTTGCACACTCGCAAATCATACTGATAAAATGTAGAGGTTTACTTAAACTTCCTCAAGTTAGTCAGCATGTCTGTGCGTTTGTGCCTGTGTTATATTTTTATTGCCACATTTGCGATTCACGGAAATGAAAACGTGTTTAGTTCGGTGGCTGCCGATGACAAAATTAATGCAAGTCGTTGCAATGGTTCCGATACTAGCGTTGGCGAGCTGAGTTGCCACAAAAACCCACAAAATCTAGCAACGTGCGACCTCACTCGAGATCGGGACACAAAAAGCGGCTTTGTGTTATGTGCCGGAGAAAACGGATGGGAAGAGAAACAGGACTATCTGTCAAACATAGACGACGAACTATGGAAAGGTACAGCATGTTTGTTTAAACGTGACTACCGAGAATTGCGCGCCAAAGATTTTAAATTTCATGAATGAACACATTTTTTTTAAGATTTGCCAGTTTTCGAAAACGAGCTGAACGTAAGTGGCTTGGAATTAAACGCGACGTACCTTCTCTTTGTATGCAGTCAGGGTGATTTTACGTTGGATGACATCGTCGTGATAAGTAGCCACCCCGATAAGTTATCCGACAATCTACCAATTGAATGCAAAAACTGGAAGAACTACACTCTGCAGAGGTTGGAAAGTGAATTTCGAATACAAGGTGCCAAAAATGGGTCGAAAGATCTACCTGTGGCTAGTCAAGAGAAACCACACCTTTCAACAAACTCAACGAAATCAAAATCTTTCTGGAAATTGCAAAAAAGCAAGTAAATTTGACGAGTTTAATTTAAAACGGACACTTTTTTGTAGAGACAGTTATAGAAGCTCACAAGCAGAATAGCCAATCGTGCGTGATCAAGACAAATTACCACGGAAAATTAAATTTGACCATATTTGTGTATCTTGGAAGTGGAAGTATTTTAAATGTTACGGTAGCATCCGGTGTGGGAAGCAATTCTACAATTTTTCAAAATCACTCTCGGTGGACGAAACGTGAACTCACATTTTGTTCCGATGAACAAACAAATCTTACTATTGGCCGAAAATTCGACAGTTCTTCTTCTAATAATCGGCGGTATTGGGCTATAGATGAAATTAAATTTTTGACAGGTAGATAACTTAATTTTGTTTTCGAGTCATTGTGGGGTATTTTAGGCAGCGCCGGTTCCATTGATTACAGTATAAGAAGAGAACCTAAAAACCCAGTCGTGCTGGAAGCCCCAGTACTGGAACACATTTCTAATAACTCCATAACCATACGTGTCAAGAGCTTGACGTACGCTTCCGGCCAGCCGAAGCCACGAAAATGCATAATCCAGTACAAAGAAGTAAAAATTGACATTAAAGGTGTTGGTTCTTGTAATTTTTAATACTTTTCAGGAAAACGAAGTCGATTTTAAAAATTTTAAAATATATAATAGCTCCAAAGACCTACTTTCCAAATCGTTTGTGATCCGAAGTGTTGATACAATAAATTCCCGGTATAAAATACGAATACTATTAATTAGCTCATATCGCTACTACTCAGATCAAAGAATACCTGAGCTGGTCACACCCAGAAGTAACGTGTCAACTTGTAACTTTTTTTCATTTTGAATGTGATTACTTTCAGAATTACACTTCTCCCAAGTAACAAACAACAGCTTTAGATTAAGATGGTTTCCACCGAAAAACGAAATATTCCGATATCAGTTATCGGTATGCTTTAACACACACTTGCCCTGAATTTACATTTAAAAAAAATGGTCACATTTCAGTGTACACAATCGTTCTGCCGGCATACTGAAACAAGTGTGCTTTCCGATTATGTCAAAGAACATTTAAAACCTTCAACAAACTGCACAATATTGGCCTACACTTTTGAAAATAAGGCACGGCAGTTTTATGACGAAGTCAGTGTTACCACACTTGCAGCCACGACCGTTGACGACAATGAAATGCCTGATAATATTACCTACGACCAGAATAAAATGGTGATTTCGTTCAAGAACTGCTCAAAATTTAGTGGACCCATAACTTACACTTTTATGTATAAGTGCGTCAGCGCTTGGTGCGAGAACAATGATGGTAAGAGTTTTACGCACCGCATGAAAGTTCACGAAAAAAATATTACTAAAAGGGATTTAAAGTTACAAGCGTTTACAAATTACAATATAACAGTAACAGCGACAAGAATGAATTATAAGCGGTCGAAAACATACCAACTTCAAACTGCTCCAGACAGTACGTAACTCAGACAAAGTTAAAATCTACAAAAGTATAACATAATTTTGTAGCACCCAAGGAAGTTCGAACCCTGACAATTGACTGTCGGAGTAGTAGTACCGTCTGGTTACGATGGTTACCACCGGACCCACCAACCGGTCAGGTGTCAGAATACATTATCTCTCAAGAGAACTCAAAAATACTACCAAATAATGACGACCGTGACACTTTCGTTCCTATAAACATACGACTAGAAGCTAACGTAACTAATATTGAGGTTCGAGCCAAAAATCGAAATGTCGAAAAACCGGGAGCCCCCAAATCTGTTGAACTCTCCTCTGTGCCCTTGGGTTAGCTACACAACTATTTATTCTTATAAATATTTATTATGTTTTAGTAAAAGACATTCTGCAAAATTTCACTGTAGTACCATCTCCACCAGAAATATCTTTCCGGTGGCACCGCCTAAACAACCTCTCCATTCGGGTCGAAAACGAAAGCCCACAAAATTCCAACGGCGAGTTTAACGTGAGTCAATTCAATCAGTTTTTGTAAAATGTTCAACGATTTTTCAGATTTCAGTTGGCAGAGAAGACAAAGTGAAGTTAGTCGTGTCGAGTGTAAACTGTCAAAGCGAACAAGTAACTATTGAAGTGGAAACGAAGCCTCCAGAGTTTAATTTGTCGGGGAACCCTATTATAAAAGTATGGTCAGAAACAAACTATGAGTTACACGTACCGACACCAGATGGTGCTACAACCGAAAGCACGAATTTTATTATTTTAATTAACCCTGACGATGCGAACTCCAACTGGACTGTAACAGACCTACAACAAGAACAAAATGGTTACGTTAAAGCACAAATCCCTCGTAATGTAGAGGTTTTTCTGAAGAACCAATCATACGAAATGTTTCTTCAAGATGTCAAAAGTGGTGAACGCTATTCTTTGCTTCTGCGACGAAAAGACTGGAGCTTGTTTCGGAAAGTCACTATTTTGTGTTTAATAATAATTACTGCTGTCACTTTAACGTGCGTGGGATATCTTCTTCTAGCGTCTGTTGTTACACTATAGCTGACCCACGACTCTATCGGTGTGTTTTAGGTACATCTTTAAAAAATACCCGTTCGACTTAGATAGGAGACGCACGTCAACGACAAGGAAGTTATCAGAAGGCGACTTTAACGCTCTTTCGGAACATTATAAAAATCAAAGCTTGAAACAAGTTCGGAAGAAAGCGGACCCACCCGCAAAGGTAATTAAGTCGAGTCCATCGGGCGACTATTTTTTTTTCACGTTGCAGCCGTCTGAACTGGAAGTTCTGGTCGAACCGTCTACAAGTAAGAAAAAGACTTCGGACGCTACTCGCATACCCGTGAAAGACTTCGAGGACTATCTCATGACAGCTCTTGGAGACGACCCATACAGCAACGACTTGACACGACAATACCGGGTAAAAGCCAATCGCATTTAACACTTCATTTCAAACGCACTTTTAGAAACTACCAACCAAAAACGGGAAAACACAAACCGTCGGCTCACACAAAAACAACCACCATAAAAATAGATACCAAAACCTGACGGCTTGTAAGTACCGCGTTCACGCTATTTCGATTTTTAACTAATTGTCGTAGTTGACGACACGAGGGTGATTCTCAAAGACAACGACGACGACGACTCCGACTACATTAACGCCAACTACGTAGACGTAAGTTTGTAAAGTGGCGAGTTTTTGTTAAACTAACTAATCACATAGGGCTACGAAAACGCTAAAGCTTTCATAGCGACGCAAGCTCCTCTAAAATCCACTCTTAGCGACTTCTGGTGCATGCTTTGGCAAGAAAAAGTCACCTGCATCATCATGCTGACCGAATTAGTCGAAAATGGCACCGTGAAATGTGAACAATACTGGCCAAACTTGGACAAAAAAACTAGATATGGGGAGATTTTGATTTCCACTGTGTCGATTAAAACTTTTGCTGATTACACGATTCGTGAGCTTCACGTGTCTCGCAACGAGGAGTCGCGAGTGGTTACCCATTTACAGTACACTACTTGGCCTGACCACGGGGTACCCTTGTACCCTCAGAACTTCACCCCTTTCGTGAAAAGACTCCTCGCAATGTCACAAAAAAATGGCCCTATTGTTGTCCATTGCAAGTAAGGCGGCAAACTCGACCCGACTTTATCACTAATAATTTAAATCGTTTCAGCGCTGGATGTGGCAGAACAGGAACTTTGATCCTGTGCGACATCATTCTCAGAATGGCAGCCAAAGAAAAATACGTTGATTTTGTCAAAGTGCTGACGAAGATGAGACAACAACGGATTAATTTAGTCCACAATGTGACTCAATACGTGTTTGCTCATTCCGTAGTCCTCGAGTGTCTATTCGGGGTAGATTTTGCAATCCCCATTAACGACTCGTTTCAAGACAATGTCTTCAAACTACTACGAAAAACCACAGTCAAACCCATGATGGAACAACTCGACAAAGTCATGATGCAGCACAACAAAAGACAACCCTGTATAGCCATCAATTTGAGCGACGACGACAAAAAGAAGAACAGATTCTCCCACATCCTTCCAGGTCTGGCACGCGCTTAAATTTGCAGAAACCAGTTTTAAATTCAAACTTTAGGTCAAGCTCAGTTGTACTTAAACCCTTCGACTTCGAGCTCCTACATCAACGCGATAGTCGTGGATTGCTACCGCTGCCCCAGGAAGTTCATCGTGACCCAACAACCACTCCCCAACACCGTCGAAGACTTCTGGAACCTCGTCAAAGAATTCGAAGTCAACACGATCGTCTCTCTAAACGAAATCGACGGACAGGACCCGGTAAATTCCAACCCCCACGAACTCAATACATTACTAGAGAGCGGATTTATAAGCACAAAAAAATTAAGAATAAGCGCTTAAATAAGCACAACATTCAATAAAAAAGTTTTATTTTAAGCAAAAAAGCATTAAAAACATAATCGTATTACAAATCAAAGAACACTTCTTAGAACTTTGGATAAAATATTATTACAATAATACTTTATATTTTACACGCGTATTTCAGTTTTCTTTAAAACAATTTATGACTGTAATATGTTCCAAGTTGTCCACTGTAAAATTTTTTCGCCGATCATTTAAAATGTGTTTGAAATTGGAGAATGTGCGTTCAACATCGACACTCGTTGTTGGAGCAAAATTTGAATTTTGTAACTAATGTTGAATCTAACTCCAAATTTTCCACCTTCTGGCCTTGTACAACACGAGCAACGTCGGAAAAAACACCGAAACCTGCAGTTTTATTTAACACTTCGTCAAGTTTTTGAGATACTCTAGTACCAATATCACCCCTTACTGCGTTTGCTTGTTGTTTAAATTCTTTCACTAAGTTTATGGCATCTACCAACAACATGTTGGGTTTTTCTAACTTTTCTATTACCTCACATACGAATTGATAATTGCTTCTTAGAAAAGCTAGATCTTGTCGCAAATCTTTGTTTTCCAAAATATTTATGCAATCTTTAATCGAATGTGAAGAATCTTCGCTAAACTCCGTAACTACTTCCTCAAATTCTTTGATATATTTGTCATAATAAAATGTGGCCTGTAACCATGTTCCCCACCTCGTTATAATCGGCTCTGGGGGCAATGGTATGTTTGGAAATTTTTCCTTAAAATGTTGCACTCTTAGTGGAGCTTTAACAAAATTTTTTTTACCATTTGTCACTAATTTATTAACAGTAGGAAACTGCAAACGTATTCCTTCAGCCACTATGTTTAAACCGTGGACAATGCAAGTAGAGTGAATTAAACTGGGGTACAATATTTTTAGATTATTCCCTGCTTTCAACATATAACGAGCTGCATCCGAGATCATCAATAAAATTTTATTGGCAAAAATAGTGACGTAAGACTGTCATTTACAAATCTTGTAATCGTATTGCCATTTGTTTTATCTAACATTTTCAAACTTACTACATACCCTCGACTAGGGAAATTTTCATTTAAGATTCCAACAATTAAACTTGCCACGTATCTTTCACAACTATCGGTTGTTTCATCGACAGCAAACCATAAATAATTATCTCCAATGCGATGTTTAATTTCGTTGTAAACTTGCTGAAACACTGGGCCTATATAATTTTTTCGGAGAGTCCTTTCAACCGGAATATGTCGATTACAGTGTTTTTCAAGGAATTCTTGAAGAGGGCCTTTCTCCAATTTTTTTAAAGGTATATTGGACTGGATCATCATTTTACATAAATCGAAATTAAACTGAAACTGCTCATCTTTTGTGGAAGTAGATGCAACAGATTCATGTATGGTCTGCTATTTAATTTTAGAAACTTCAAACATTTTCTTCCTTTCTACATGAAGAGTCGTTCTGACATGTTGCATCACGTTATATTTTTTATCACTTTGAATCTAAGACAACATACATATACAGGATTAACAAAGGAAAATAGATAAAAAAAAATTAGTGGGCTTACGGTTTTCACACAAGCTCTGCAGAATATTTTTTTGTTTTCTAATTTTATTTCTGGAAAATCCCTTATCCACTCATCCGGCGTCGATTTTACTTTCGGCATTCTTTTAAAATATTAGTAATGTTACCAAAAAGAACTCAACATGTAACAAGGGAGAACCACGTATAACACTGTACTACGACAGATGCGATAGACTGATGGTTGTGAAATAAACGGTTCATTTACTTAAAGTTTCCATTAGAAAAATTTTAAGGTAGGTGGTTGGGTACAATAATCCTTTTTTCTAGAAAATCTTCAACGGTCTTGCCGCAAAATGCCGAAAAAGAACATCTGGTTAAAAGCTTTAATTCATTATCAACGGAAGTAAGGATTTAAAGTCATAAAATCTATGGAGTATTTTTCCAATCCTATAATAAAATTTTATTACCCAAACGACCGGAACCTATTCACAGAAAGGGTCTTGAGTAAGTGTACTTCAATGATCAAGTCCAGGTAAAATGCATACGATACGATACGGCTAACTAACAAGTATTTGTCATCCCGACAAGGCCGGCATTTGAACAAAATATGCATTAAAACTAATATTCGTCGAAAAAAGCATTAAATAAGCATATAAGTTTTAATATGCATAAAATTGAAAAAAAAAGCAAATAAGCATAAAAAAATGTGTCAAATGACTCCAAATTGTATCATAGTTACAGATATAAAAAAGTGCTTACATTTTTCACAAAAAGCATTAAACCTAGAAATCCGCTCTCTATACATTACAAACGCGATTTTTTCAGAACTGCCCCCAATTCTGGACGCACGGCACCCAACTAGTCGAAGAGAGCGAATTCCGAACGCACGACATCACAAAAGTGAAAATCTCGCAGGAATCAGACGCCACTGAAAGAACTGTCAATGTTATAAAAGTGAAAAACTGGCAGAGAGACGCGGGGTATCCTAGCAACCCCAAGGACTTGATTTTGGTGTGGAAGGAGACGTTTAACACGTCGTGGAAGGGTAATAGTCAGATCGTGGTCACGTGTTAGTGAGTACTTCAACGCCAAGTTTGTGGTTATTTTTACAATTGTTTTTGAAGCGATGGCGCCACTGCTAGCGGGCTTTTCGTGGCTTTGGCTTACCTTATTGAGAAAATTAACTACGAACAGTCGTGTGACGTTTTCTCCGCCATCAGAACGGTGCGGCAAAGTCGGGAGGAGTTCGTCCAGGAATGGGTAAGCGCGGAATTTTATGGAAATGTGAAAATGGAAACATTGTGGTTTCAGGGCCAAATGGAATTTCTGTACAAAGCTGCGAAAGTGTATATTGAAGATTTCGACGACTACGACAATTTCGACTAAATTAAACTACTGTTGGCGTATTGGACGACTTCAGTTGGCAGCCCTGGTGTTTTCTTGATAGCGTCGGCTAGTTGTAGTGGCAATAGTAGAAGTTTAAACAGTTGGTACTCTTTTTGTATCCCGCTATTCCCAGACCCCAACATTGAAACGAGTTCGAGATTCTAAAATAGGCGCGGTGTTGCCAGCGTGCGTAAATTAAATTAAAATAAATTAAATTAAAATAAATTAAATTAAATTACCTGTATTTGTTCGAAGGCCTTCATCACCACAGGTCTCTCAGCAGTTTGTACATTAGAGTTCGAATTAGCAAACTTCAAATACCGGTTGTACACCATCTCGAAATTCATTGGTTGGTTGTCATATATCTCGCAGTGATGTTTCATCGAAATCAGCAACGTTAACTCAAGGACGCTCAAATCTTGCAAAACTTGAACGATTTCGTCTTTCTCGAAACGTTGTACCTGCTCAAGGAACGCCTGATGTGTTAGCTTGTTGTTAGTATCATCCAGTTGTGACACGACAACCATCTAAAACACCCTGTATTACTTAACTACGTAACAAACGATTGTTATATGATTATTACCAGAATATTTTTCAAGCTCTTTTCACTTAAATCTACATCCAGCAGTCTCTGCATCACAGATTTAAAATTTTTATCTTTCAACAAACTACCAACATGAGCGTTCCACTCTTTCTTAAAACTAGCCGAAACATCTAAAGTTTCGTCGTTATGAATTAACAGAAACGCCTTCAAGCGTTCCAATCTATATTCTAAATTAGACTGGCCCCTAGTTTCGTCTGTCCCCATAAACAAAAAAATCTGTCTATGCGAAAACCTGCTCTTCACGCGCTTTTCCAAAAGTTCTATAACATCCAACCGACACGTGACACCTAAAAACGCACGATAAAAACCACCAAAAGTCACCCAAAAACCTACCAAGGACACAAATGGGGGTTTGCGCTGACTGAGACACATCGAACAAATTATACAACAACGTCTGATTGTGGTGCGAACAAAACAAATCAAACTCTTCGATAACGAAAATGACGCTTTTGGCGGTGCCCCGTTGCCCGGACTTCAAACAAGCCAGCAAAAACGCTAAATTGTCGGCGAAGCTCCCGAACACCTTTCCGTCCACCGCGTTGTCTAGTTTCATCTGCGACGTGATGCTTTTGAGAGCCAGGCGGTCGTCGGTGTGGACGAGACCGTGCAGCTGCACCAGAATGGCGTCCGACTTGAAGTCCAGGTCTTTGAGGACATCTCTAACCAACTAAGTAATGGAGATTAGTGAGGTTATGGGGGCTGAATGTGACTCACCGTGGTCTTGCCGGAGCCGCGGGGGCCTATCAGGAGGGCCGAATTGGACTCGCCTGACTCAATGGTTCGCTGGAGGAGGTCGCGCACTTGCAGGCGCTCATCGCGGTGGCCTACGAACTCGGTGTTGTTGAGGATCCTGGTTTTTAGGAATTTGCGTAAAGTGGTGAGGTTTTTGTCGGTCAGGGGCTTCATTTTTGGGGGCAGGTTGTTATTGTCATTGCTAACCTATTTCAACAAATTTAAAATCGGCGAAATCGCAGAAGGCGCGCTGTGGTACCAATATCAGAAAGTTGAAGTAACTGCAAACGTGCTTATTTAATTTAATAATAAATTAATAAAAGACCAAAATTGGTATGTTGTTATAAATTGTCAATTAGTAATTCATGGACGTTATAGAAAAGTTACTATTTAAGTGTTTCTTTAATATTTACTTAAAACAAAATAATCACTGATGAGGGAATTTTGTGTTTTAGTGTTGTTCGACATAGTCAGGGTAGGAAACCTTAAATGTGAAGGTCGTTGAATGCCATTTGATAGTTTGTCTGATGAGCGCAGATGTCGCTTACGTCGAAATGTATTATTTTTACAGAGTCCTGTACAACTTAGCTGCCACCACAGACCATTAAGCAAATAGAAAGACGTTCAAAAACCACTACGATTTAATGTGGCGATTACAGCGCTGCTCGAGCTCCTGCATGAATTAAGTCCACTGATTACTAGATTATAATTACTATAGTAGTAATTTTATTTTTAATTACAATTTTAATTCTATAAAAATGAAACTAAATTCAGTAATGAAAAACATATATTTGATAACAATGACAAAATTACAAAACAACTCTCAAAGAAAAACAATTTCATTTCGAAATACCTAAAAAAAATAATTTAATTACAAACTGCTTAAAAAAAACTCTTGAAACTACGGGTAGGTGTTAATTTTAAAACCTATTTGAATTATTAATTCTTCTACGATTATGTACTTCAAATTGTTTTTGCAGATTGGTCAATTTTTTATTTATTATTAGACGCACTGCCAAATTAATAATTTCCGTTCTTAAATCAGCAATATGAATGTCACAGTTAATCCAAGTAAAGTTAATTGTTGCTGTTATATGTTCTTTTAAATTTCTTGCAATATTTGGAACTTCTCCAAAATTATCTAAAAAGAAGACTATGGTATCGTAAATCTCAGCTAAGCATGTTACAAATTCTTTTGTAGCATATTTCAACCTTAATTTTTGATCCTGTTCTTTGTAAAGAGTGAAAATATGATGTTCTTCGGTTTTTTGTGCAATTATACAATTTTTACAGTCTTTACATGTGATAGCTTTTAATTTTTTTATTAAAAAGCCACAAACATATGTAATAGCCTGAAGATCATATAAATCTTTAAATGCAGCTCTATTAGTTGAGCTAGAATTTTCTAAATTTACCAACTCATTGATATTTTCTGTAAACTGAAAATTTGTTGGTTTTGATGACGAGGATAAAAATATTCTAAGATTATCGAGAAGTTTTCCTACATCTTCTTCACAATTCTTACCATATGCTTGATATGCTATCAAATTATTCAAAATACTTGTTTTTAACGCCGATATAAATTGAAAACACGATGGATTACTATTTCCTGAACCGTATTGTCGTATCACTGAAAATAAATTTTCTAGAGGATCCTGATTCAACATTCTTGTTCGCAAAAATTCGAATTCATTTTTTTCACACATCTGCCAAAGAAGTCTAATTCCACGAATGTTATTTAACCAACCTTCTTTAAAGGGCATAGTTGTTTTGAATTGACCACGTACTTCGTCATAAAATTTCCAACTTTCGATTTTTTTTTCCATTTTATTCCAAAAATCAAAATGACCAGATTTCTTTGTTAAAGCACATCTTAGCTTTGGATTGCAGTGGTTGTTACGCATATTAATACCAGTGGAGTTGAAACTGTCGAATAAATCATTTGCGTCTTTTACAAAGAAAGCCGTTTCGATTGCTTCTGAAGGAATATTTTCTTTTGAATCTATTAGAGTTTCAAGTGCAGCTGCCATACTGGCACTAAGTGTTTTTGCTGCAATTGACACTTTCATCTTTAATAATCTATATCTGTTCACGTAAAGAAAGGGTTCTCGGATTTTATGCAAAGTTTGAAATCTTCGAGTACTATCAAATTGATAAGCTTGTCTCAAATACATAAATTTAGCTTTCTTGGTTTCATCATAATAAATCGTATATTTAAGGAGAGCATTTCTTAATGATTTCAATAAATGGGGACTATCATATAAACATACAATTTTTTTTGAATTTACCTTAAAGTATGGTTAATTATACTCTACATTTGATTCTTCTTTTAAGAAACGTAGAGCCTTTACATTCGAACTGGCCTGATCACAAACGGTGCATATGACTTTTGCGCCGGCCATATTAAGTTTGCTAATAATTTCTTTAATTATTAGTTTTAATTTTATACTTTTAATAGAGTCCTTAACAAAATAGTACGCTATTGGTTGTTTCCATCCGGAACTAATACCTTGTATCATAAATACTAACGCATGGTTAGCATAATTTTTATTTCGTCCTAAAGATCCCAAATCCTCAAAACCAATAATTTTGTCAGTAGATCTCGAATAAGTTAAATTTGTAGATAAAGACACTTCATCAAACATAAGCTTGCATAATCGATCTCTTGGTTTCAGTTTCTCAATTCTCATTTTTAACTTATCAAATAGTTTGTCATTCACGCCACATTCAAAAGGTATATTTTTCAAAAATTTGTACAAAGTTGTTTTTGACGGAAGTCCGAAAAAATGTTTTAAAAAGCGATAACATTTTGGACCTCTTTTGTACATAGCCAAGGCAAATATTTTATTTTCAGTTGACCATCTAGGAATTTTTTTTTTCATGTTATCAAATTGGGATTTTATGAAGCTTGCACTTACAGAATTGCAATTTTCTTGTAAAATGTTAATTAGATGATTTTGGGGAGCACGTTTTAGAAGATCCAAGTTTTTTTTTGATTTACATAATTTTAAATTTAATCTGTTTATTGCCTGTTTCTGGCGTTTTGTTATTCTAAATAAAGTTTGCTCTCTAGGAGTTAAGTCGTCCACTCTTTTGCATCCTACCTTTTTCAAAACACTGGGTGAATATTTTCTTTTTTTCGGAGTATGTGATATTGTCGTGAGAGTATCACAATGGCGTTTGCGTCTTTGTGAATTTACGCTACCATCATACTCAGATTCCGAAATAGTTCCGACTAAAAAAATAAAAATTTTATAATTTTTTTGTTCACTTTTACTGGAATACCCATCACCATTAGTATTAATCACAGCTTGACTACTGTCCTTAAAAATAGTGGGAATTGCGTATTTATGAAGGTTCGTTTGTGCGGTGCTCGTAAAGTAATTTTTACTGAAATGATCTTCACAAATGTAAGCTTTTTTACAATTAACAACAATTTTTTCTGTGCAGGAGGCATTAATGGTATCTATCCACTTTTGTTTTTGAACTGGAGATTTAGGAAAAATAAAAAAATGTTTATTTTTGTTCTTGTTGATTCCTGTTGCGTATACTGACGGACAATTTGGAACTTTGCATCGATATTTATTAATAATTTTCATTTCCGTTGTATCTGAAGCAAGTAAAACTATATTAATATGACTTAAAAATAGCAGATATAATAGTCACCAAACTTACTACTGAAAACCTTTTGAAAAAATTATAATTTGGCGTTTGAATTTGAATGACGTTAAAGGAGATATTTGTTGACAGTAAACACGATCTATTACGAAATTAACACGAGTATAAGCGAATGAGTGTTTGCTCCAGCCGCTCGCGCAGCGCTAGTGTCGCTTCCTAGACTATACGATTAAATGGCAATGAACTGTCTTCCTATTTGTTTAATGGTCTGTGGCTGCCACAGTGTACTGTATAGCTGCCAACTAAAAATGGACCAGTGGCGTTGCATGAAAGATTAAGTTGTATTTAAAAATAATTGTTTAATAGTACAAAAATATGTATAATTGTACAATATGTCAGTTCTACTCCAATGCAATATGTAAAAATGTAAAAACTTTATTAAAATATTAATAAAAAGTATATAAAAAAAATACACAACGGTATTATCTATTTCTTAATATATGCCCACCAAATTTTTGTTTAAAATTGAAAAAAATTTGCAGCATTGCTCAACAGAAATTTATATATTTATATCCTGCCATTTTGACATTTCAAAAATTCAGATTCTGAAATAGTTGTCTGTGAATAGTTGTCATGTATTAAGAATTTGTCACTGAATTACCAGATGGGCCCAGGCATAATTAACTATTCACCAGAGAAATGGAAACAACAAGAACTTTATTGAAGTTGCGGGAAAAAGTTACACGTACAATAGTATAGGAGGTGCTCATGTAGTTGGAAATTCTTATATTTCTTCCACCATGTCTTTATAAATAATTCAGTAATAGATAGTTGTGCAGTAATAAAGTATTATTCCAAGTGTACAGCATCAGTTGTCCATTTACTGCAGACCCTAGGTTCTTAATCCAGACCAAAAAGTACCTTACATTGTCACATCAAGTGGCAGAACCTTTCTTGTTTGATGGCCCCAGCTGTGAGCATCCAATGAATCCGCTCCAGTTGTCATTTTTCTAACATAAATTAAACCTCAGGTAGAGCTCATGAAAGGAACTTGATAAGAACGCAGAATCTGTAGCATCTACGTTTCTCACAATATTATCAGTAAAATATTTTTCGGCTATTCATGTCCAGAAACGAATCGATTTCGTATTTTTTGTCTTCGTCGCTTTCTTGTCCATATTTGCCCTCAGCCCACTCCCTTTCCAACTGCCATCCATGTTTATAGTCGCTCCGGTCGTGCAGAAATATACAACTGTCCCCAAACCCGCAAAAACCCGTTTCTTTGTAATCTTTACAAATATCCGGCTGATAGTCCCATCTGACGGTGGCGCGCAAATTGGCCGGGGCCCTAATGGGGCCCTTTCTTACAAGCCCGGAACTGGCATTACCCGCAGCGGTCTTATCGTCTTCTTTGCCTTCCAGTTCTTTGTTGATCTCTAACCGCTTTTCAAAGAGGGCTTGCGCGTCTCTGTCTCGCTCGGTTTCAATTTCCTACACAAAAAAACGGTTTAGGGTCACTTTGTCGTGTTAACACGATCACTCACCAAAATCGCCGTGGCTCCTTGATCGGTGGGGCCTTCGGCCATTGCGGAGCGCTTCGACTTGTAACTAACCAGGAGGTCTTCCTCACTACTCGAGTCATTAACATTTTCATTTTCTTGTTGCTTTTTTTTACTCGTACTTTGAACATTGGGGTTTTTCTTCGACTTGCGATGGTTTGGACGTTTCACTGACGGTTCTTCGTCGCTGCTGTTGGACTTTTCTGAAGAAAGTGAAAAACATAACCTTTAAAACGACGAAATGGATACGTTAATAAATGACACGTGATTACGCCAAAGTTTGGTACTTACCTTCTTCAGAACTCGATTTCGGCCTCTTCCGATATTCCGTGTTTCGTGCCTTACGCTTTTTAAAGATAAAACTACAACTTTCTTCAAGTCCTGTTTTGACGTCACGTTCGTCCTCCATGTTGGTTGACTTCACTATGTCCCATAGAATACCCTCACTATAGAATACGATCTCCAATGCTTGTATGTTGTTCCTAATGAACGCCTCTACTGGTGTGGTACGGAACTAAAATCGGCGCCAAATTTGAAAGGGAATTTTGCTAATAGATTTTTTTTTATATTTAAAGGGAAAACATTGTTTGTGCATTTTTATATGTTAGTTTCAAAATGCCAAAATAGGCCAACATATAAAAAGACACAGACACAAACAGTACAATAAAAAATGTGGAATATTTTCCAAACAATATATTTAACCGTAACATTGAATAATTAATGAAAATACTACTACAAATAACAATAAAAATACCATAATATGACAAAATTCTAAAAGTACCAAAAAGTCAAAGAAAACAGTGCAAAATAAAACAGCATAAGAAAATATTTTGAACAGAAATCGCATGATAAACGAGATAATGAAACTGGCTTGCCCTGATAACTTACATTTGTACTTTTATTTAAAATAATAGAACAAATAGTACATACCTATATACACACCTAATTATTACCTATATACAACTTAATAAAAGTGTGTAGATTTTTAAAATGCAAGTAAAAAACATGTATTTGTTGCAAGCAGAATATTCTTAACAAAATAGCCACTACATTAAAATAACAAAATAAAGTCTGAGACTTTTTAAAACTAAATTAATTTTTAATCTCCCATCAGTAGAAACGCAAACTGCCTTTGCACTTTTTGTTCATACCTTAAGAAATGTGACAATACAATCACTTTGATAACATAACAATAGGTTAAAGATTTAGACAACTCAATGAAAATCTGGAGATTGCAATTTCGACCTCCTTAGGTATCACAGTACAATATATCTCGGTGGTAATGTTCGAATATTTAACCTCATATAGCCATCATTTTCTTCTGGTATGCACAAAACAAAGCTGATTAATAACCTGCAAAATGCAAAATTATACAAATGTTCTATTTTCTTTTAAAACGTAAATATAATTTTTGCATTTCTGTCTCCAACGAAATTGATCTGTTCGGTTCTTGCCTACCAAATACTATATTACTCAGTTTTTTCATGTATCCAAAGATAAACACTCTTACAAATAAATGGAAAAGTTTAGTTTTTAGTTCTTCGGTATGCAAGCATTCCTGAAAATCAAAATCAATTGTAGTTCGCAGGTGGCTTATAATCCTTCTAGAAAGAGAAGAATGATAAATTGCAGACGGTAAAAGAATGCGCAGGTGATTATGAGTCTCAATCAGAGTTTTAATCACCCCCACATTCGTATATTGTAACCGTCTGTTTTTATCATCGTACTCTTTCTTTTCCACCAAGCCATGATACTGTATATCTGGATCCCCATCGTGCTTTAAGTTAGATCGACAGATTTCACAGCCAAGTGGTTCTTTTGACATATGTTTGACTAGAAATCCGCTTATGTAGCCTATAACATTCTGGTCATAAAGTTTATCCTTCGTTACAGTATCAGGAACTGGTGGCGGTTTCCACTGATCTTCGACACATTTCCGATTTATTTGAAGACCAAGAAACTCCCGAATTGTGATCACAAATGAGTCCTCATCTTGTTCACAATTAGAGCCACGAGAATGATAGGAGCAAAAATTCTTCATCATCAATGACTTATAAAATGGCACGAATGCTCGACAAGTAGGATTTGTATATCGTCCTCCATATTGTCTTACATATTTGACCAAAAAAATTTTCCAACGGATCTTGGTTAAAAGCTCTTGCTGGGAAAAAGTTATAACCAAGTTTCGTTAGAGTTTCCTTGATAATCATAAAACCATTTAAAGTACGATACCACCCCTGTAAAACTGGGGGTTTTGCTCGGTCTCCAGCTTTACGTGGTACAAATCTCATGTTGCTGAACATGCGTTTCCCTTCTAGCCAACAAGTGTGATGGTAATTTTTAACTCCTACCAATTTACGTAAGTTCTTACCACCGCAGTCTCCAAATCCTCCATTAACACTGTCAAAGACAGAATCCATGAACATAAACAAATCGGAAGTGTATTGAGCATCAGGCGGCAGGATTCCCCCAAATGTCCGGCTGGAACAGAGATTTATGAAAGAAGAAACACTACGGCTAAAGACCTGTGAAGCATAACGAACTTTCATTTTTTTGCCTCTTAAGTTAGGCTTCACATGGTCTATGGTGATCTTTGGCATCATTCTTAGGTTGTCACCCAGCGTCTGATCTAATCCATATGCCTTTTCAAAAAAACTCCAAGAAGCTCTTCTCTCCACACCTGCTTTATCTACATAAAGCAGATCTTTGGTGAGAAGATTGTTCCGCATACTTTTTAGAAGATGAGGAGGATCAAAGAGAGGGACAACTTTGTGATCACCAATTTTTATCACATTCTCTTCAGTTTCCTCTTCATTTTCTAAAATAGCACGTCGCCTGGTTTCCTGCAAAAGTATATCGATTGCAGCACTGTTTGTAGTGCTTTGATCACAAACCGAAGCAATGATGTTTAAGCCTATCGCTGTTGCTTCTTTCACAATCTCTTTATAAAAACGGACAATGTTTACGGCAGCTAAAGAACTTTTACAAAAAGCAAAAGCAACAGGTTGCTTCCACCTTCCAAAAATTCCTCTAAGCATAAAGACGCAAACATGGTCTGCAATTTTTTCCGTCCTTGTTGTACCGTCATCTTCAAAACCCACAACTCTGTCCTCACAAGGCAAGTAGTCAAGGTGAGGCTGTATGGACATCTCATCGAAGATGAGAGTACACAGATTGTACTTGGGGTCCATTTTGCGACGTACTTGCTTTCCGAGAACTTCGAATATGGGTTTGTTGATACCCGGTTCTATTGGAACTCTATTTAGGGTTGCCCTCAGAGTGTCAATAGACGGCAACGTAAACATTTTAGACAGAAGTTTGTACGTCTTCGGGCCATGTTTCCATATGGCAATGGCGTCTGCCTTTTCCTCAAACGTAAAACTCCTGCCTTTTGGTTTACGATTTACGTTCCTAATCTGATTTTCGAAAAACCGCTGCTGAACAGGAGTCAACCCTTCTACGAGATCAACCAATCGTTGATCCCGAACAAATTTCCTTGCGGACTGTAGGTCATGTCTCCGCTTTTCAGCCTGCTTTTGCAAGCGGCCTACTTGTTTTTGCAGGCGTTTTGCTTCTCTGTAGAGTTTTACTTCGTTAGACGTAAAATTGGTCGTTGTCCGCTGTTTTACGCCTATGCGCTCCAAAATTTTACCTGCAAATGTACACAGGTATTAATTAATTGCATCATTTTTACTTTATGTACAGTTCTGTTCAATGAAAATTATGTTACATGCAGTTATAAGTTTCTTTAATATCTTTAAACAAATTATGCTTATCGTTATTAGCTCAAAATTAGATAGACAATCAAAAATTATTAGTAAACGAACATAAGAGTTTTCATTAAATTAAAATACATACGTGGAGTCGTTGTAGTTCTCAGAGAAACATCCCGGGTCTGTCCAAGTGGTGTACTTCTGCTTCCAACAAAATCTAAAAATAAGTAATAAATATTTGTTATTGAGACTAATAATATTTTATTTTCACTATTTTTAAATTCACAAAAATACATATTTAAAATCACACGGTGAAAAAAAATACTCCTAACGTATATCAATATACCCTAAGTTACGCCACTGCTTTTTCACCTATTTGACACATGACATATGCGTGACATATGGTTGGTAGAAACGCGAGATGACGCTATGCTGTACCACAGATTGTTTTATAAACACGTGATAAAGTTTAACAATCTACCACATTTTTATATGTTGTAATCGTTTGAAAATTTGTTTTTGGAATTACGAAATTATGGTATCAAACTTTGCAGTTTCTTACCGATTTTTGAATTACTTTGTAGCCCTGAAGGTCCAGCGCAAGGTAGCTCATTGACCCCATTCTCCTCTGTAAGTCATAATATTATTTTTTTTGCCATTTATTTTTTAGCATTATAATACCTCCAAAATTCAGTTGTCGGGCTTGAATGCCACTATTCCGTATATTTCTACGCTCCGGTGTAGTAGTTGAACCTATAAAATGGAAAACCGTTCATGTTATAGTAAAACACTTGTAATATTTACATACTTTGAGAATGTGGGGTTCGTCGAATACGTGGCGATAAATTCGCCATGGAGTAGAAATCAGGGCATTCCTTCCTTGGGGTCAGGAAGATGAGATCAGTTGTCTGGGGCACTACAGTGGACGCATCAATTTTACTTGCCTCCAGTGGTGATGTAAGTAGAGTATCATCTGTAAGTACACATGTCTTAATATTTGTTTCGTAGTGACTTTCAATTTGTTTTTACCTCGAGGAGGCAAAATCGTTGGTACCGCAGATTGATGCAGCCTTTGTGTACCTTGGACATAGTCTTCAGCCCGAAAATGTTGGTAGCAAATGTACCCTCTCCGATAAATTTGGTCATTTGTTAAACCCTCGAATTTTGGGTTATTGGAGGCTTTAACCCATGCCATAAACCTATCTAGACCCCGTTTCGGATGTGGAAACCTAAATATAGGGGCCATCCTGTTCCCACATTTATAAATTGCACAAGTTTTGTGCGTTTTTTGTGCTTCCATTCTTTTTTCTACAAACATTTGTTATAATAATGCTATAAACAATGAACATAAAGTGAAAACATTTGTATACTTACATTTTTTTGTACACTACACAACACAACAGCTACAAAATGCACTTAGCAACACGATAAAAATAAAACTGTTGTGTTTCTTTGGTGGTGTGGGGGTGTTAGGGGAAAGTAGTGTCGTGTGCAGGGATGTGAATTCTAAAATTTTGAAAATCCGCGCGAAGCAGCGTTTACAGGTTTCTTTTCATGCGACCCCTGGTGAGTGGGTAAGAAAATACGTAATGAAAGGTACAAGCGCAGCCTATACCACATTAGCTTCTATTGTAGGGTTTTCTATGCTATGTCTTTATAGAAGTTGATCTCCAATGTTACCGACTTGTTGTTGGTTGGCGCCATCTAAGCTCACCAGACCAACTAATGTCAAAGGCGGGACATTTAAACACTTCTATGATTCTTGTAGAATAAATCATAATTTATTTTTCATAGTATTTGTAAATTATTGTATCCTTCTGTACACTATTTGTTTAAACATAATGTAATAAAAATCGTATTATATTATAAAAATAGAACATTGTACAGAAGAGACAATAATTTACAAAAACTATTCAACTAGTTGAAATAATCAAAAACAACTTTAACGCGTAAAGAATATATTAAAATATAAAATGTGCACATCACAAAGTAAGTGGACCTTTCTTATTATATGTATATAACACATGGCTTTTACAGTTACATGTATATAAAAGAATTATTGGAATGAAGCACTGGAAAGTATAGTACAGTTGCGGCCATTTTAAAGTCGTACAATTTTTCAAATACAAAACTTGAGCATTGTAAATTTCTCTTAAATCTGAAGTTTCTAAAACGTCTTTTAATGTCATATAAGTCAGTGTCGTGGAGTGCAAATTAATTGCAAAGATTGCAATTGAATAAATTATTAAAGAAACTCAAACCGCTATAAAATGAAAAAAAAAGTAAAAAATGCTGAAGCTTTTAAACATTTATTAGCAGAACAACCATTTCTCAGTTCAGTTGCTTTTAGTCTTCTATGTGCTGTTCGTATGGAGCTTGGGAAACCTGTAGCAACTTTTGCGTGAATTGCAGTTGCAAACGGATGCTGCCTAAGGTAGTTTCCTAGGCGAGTATCATCATTTTGATTTGAGCATTTTGCTCGGCCCGCATCTTGTTTTCTTGCAATATTTCCTGTTGCCTCAAATTTTTGTTTTGCTCTTGCAACAGTTTTTTTGTCGACGTTTACTTCTTCGGCTATATATATTAAATGGGGACACGGTCTCTCAATCTTGTTATAATGATGGATTTTTGCAGCTCAGATAATTGCGGCATTTTAAGAAATTACCCGACACTGTTTTGTCAAAAAATGACAATGACATTTACATGATTGATTAAAGCCTAATCAACACATTACAAATTTTGAAATTTTTGTGGAGTACGTTCAAAAACCGTGTACGACTTTAAATTGGCCGCAACTGTACCTACATATTTTTTAACACTACCAAAAATAAACAATCATATACTAAAGAACATAACGTCTGCAACAATAATCTAGCAAAGATAACAGATGAACAGTTCATTTAACAACTATAATAACGTATCTTTAATAAAAAAGACATGACCGATATCAATGTTATACAATAGAAAAAAAACGAGAAATATTGAAAGCGATGAAAAGGGCAGCTTCTGACATGGTGTATAACATGTATAATTTTGATTTTTAAATAAGAAACTAAAATAAAACAAAACGTTTTACAGTGATGCAACGCAAAAGTATAAAACAAAATCTTATAAGTCCAATATGTTACATAAGTAAAATCGAAACAAATCTTTAAGTGAATATTTCAGTTCAGTTTATTACACGACAATTAAAATTCAAGCAACATAATATACGTATAAGCACGTTCACAATTGTTGACTATTCCAATGATGCATTAAGTAAAAAATAGTGTAAACAAAATACACTTCATTATAATGATAATATTGTAATAATAAATAATTATAAAAACATATATATAACTGGAATGAAATTCGCTGCTTGATACGAAAGTATTCGTAATGACTAGCCTTTCCTAAAAAGTGAGTAAGTGGGATAAATCCATTTTTCGAATACATTATGCCAACGTAGATTAATTTGTATACCTACATAATAAATTATAAAAATATAAAGTTCTTTACTTGCTTCTATATCGCATGTACACCTGATACAGCTCCATTTCCAACTCATCATTTTTCCGCGGTTCCTGTTTCCCAAAAATAATGTTGCTCAATCTTTTCGTATATCCAAAAATAAATAATCTTACAAACTGGCCGAAAATTGTTGTCTTAACTTTTTCCGAATGAGCACAAGGCTCAAAAAATTTCGCGTAGCTTCATGATTTTTCTCATTTTTCATAATATTAGATATTTCTATATTACTTAAGCCGTATTTCCTATCAATTTTATTCCTTGTCCATATGTCTCCGACTTGTTCGGATTCTTCGGTTTTTTTTTATTCTTTTTTAAACCATCTCCGAAGGCTTTTTGTGCTAATTTATTACCTGCATATCCGACTGCACCTAATCCCAATGCTTTGGCTGCAGCTATTGCTGCAGGAATTAAAGCAGGCAAAAATCCACCTATTTGTGTTGGAGAAAATTTGATATCACAGTATTTCTTCTTGTCTTTTTTACATTTTTTAATTTCATCAATCTGTTTTTCTCTCAATTTAATTGTTTTATTAGCTCTTCGGATAACGTTTGGCGTTGCGATATTTCATTCCAATCTAGTTTATCCTTGAACTCTCTAATAAAGTCTTCTGATAGCTTTTGGTAATTCCATGATATCATTTTCCAATCTACTTTATCTTGAAATTCTCTTATAAAGGCTTCTGATAAGTTTTGACTCATTGAAATTTTTTTCCAATCTATTTTATCTTCAAATTGTTTGTATTTCAATAATTCGAGCTGCTCCATTTATTATAAAAAGAATATTTAATCTTAGAACCAAAATATAAGTTGAAAAAACTTGTCTAAAAGTCTTGAAAATCAACATTTTTTAGTGACAAAAATTTAAAAGTTCAAATTTGGGGAATATTTAATGGTGAAAATGAGTTGTTCACGATTTTTTTGCTTTTCTGTTAACCCTTGAAAACCTGGCTAACCGTATTCATATGTGTACTGAAATGGCCCAACTGAAAAACAGGGTTAAAAGACGAATTTTAAGTGCTTTTTAAATGGTAACTTTTTTGGCCGAAACCGTATTCACGTTTGATAAAACAGGATATATTTCTTAACCTAGCAAAAGTTTGTTGCTGTTTACATAGCTGATAAAGTCTTGCTTAAATTAACCTAACGTAAATTCTCTCCTTTTTCTAATCCAGAGTAAAGTGTGTCGTAACTACAGGTTACTTGAAGTTATTGCTATAAATTCGTAAGATAGAATTCAAATACTATAGTGATATTAGTCTGTATCTTAACAAATAATAAATCAATTTACCATTTATTGGGACGCTGTCCAACACTGATAATGGCGCCACACCAAGTCCCTCTTCATTACTGCTCACTCCATTACCTAAAACAATATAGTGTTACAAAATGTTTCAACTTTAATTACAGCACCCATATGTTTAAAAAAAGTATAAGTAAATTTCATATTATAGATCCAATACTAAATTTCTTTTTTTAAATCAAACACGTACAACTGTTTTACGGCACAGTGTACCTAGATCATGATTGTTGCTGATTAAGTACGACATATATTTACTAATAATTCTGTACAATTTCGTCTGTGACATTGTTTATAAATAAAGAACTATAATTACAACTTTGACTTCAAATTTGATGACAGGCTATGGATACTAAACTTTTATCAGTGAATTTTAAGTGTACTCTTCAGAATTTTATATTATAATAACACACCGCTCGTAGAACATTCATTATGCACGGATGTACATTTGAAAATATCTAAAGACATTAAATACCCTAACTATAATTGGTATTGCTAGCGTTGTATACCTATTTCATGTTGAATTATGCTTGTTTTTCATTACTTTGTGTGCAATATTATACTTTTGCTATACTTACTTATGGAGGGAAATAATGTTCTCTGCACGACGCTCCTGGGAAATACACCTCCAGACGTGGATGGTGAACCTAGGTACATTTCAATATTTCAATTTCACTGTAATGTTCATAGATAGTAAAATTAATAAACTTACAGGCTGATGGTGTAACACGTTTTCGTACCGAGCTGGGCATAAAAATGAGTTCACGTTGTGGTGTTCTAAAAATTAGGTCCTCCTCAGATTGGGATGGTCTTGGAGGTGATGGTGCATCAATTCCCTGTTCTGTGGCAAACGATGGACCTGTATAGTTCAAGTAATAAATATTTTACATGTCACTTCAAAGGATATTTTTACCAATCGGCAAATTTTGCGAAGGCACAGCAGTTTTCCTTAATAAACGCGAATTCAGGATTTTATCCTCTTCCTTAAAATGGTTGTGGCAAACGAAACACTTTTTATAAATACCATTATCTCCTAGTTGCTCGAATCGAGGATTATTTGCTGCCAGAACCCACTTACGAAAACGTTCCCCGTTTGTTTTTGGATTGGGGAAACGGTACATCGGTAGCTCTCGCTTTCCGCAGCCTTTTACAGAACAAGTATTTTTGGCTAATGTGCTCGTCATCGTGCTGTGTAAAAAATAATATTTTTTAATTTGAAACGCTTTCATTACAAAAATTCTTACCAAATAAACGAAATTTATTGTCACACTTACACTATTATTAATTAATTGTCTGTTTATTCTAATCACTAACACTAAAATCACTTAAAAAGTACGTAAAAGGCTAAAAAAAAAACACACCACAAAACTCAAAACGCTACAAATCGAACAAACAACCACCAAATACAACGCAGCATAAAATACGCAGTTTACTTTTTTATATGTAAATAACCGCTCCACACACAGTGGCGTACGTTTAAAAAAGTAAAAATATTATCAATTTTTTAATATGTGCCCACTGAATTTAAAAAAGTGGTGGATTTTTAACTATAAGGTTGGTAAGCTAATTAGCTTTCAACTATCTAAAGCACTTTGGAATCAAATTCTAGTCAATTTAAGCTACTGACGTTGTATTTGCAGCAAAAACTTTGATGTAAGTATACAAGTAAACAAGTATACATTGTCGTTTCTGGACATGAATAGCCGAAAAATATTTTACTGATAATATTGTGAGAAACGTAGATGCTACAGATTCTGCGTTCTTATCAAGTTCCTTTCATGAGCTCTACCTGAGGTTTAATTAATGAGCCAGTTTGTAAGATTATTTATTTTTGGATATACGAAAAGATTGAGCAACATTATTTTTGGGAAACAGGAACCGCGGAAAAATGATGAGTTGGAAATGGAGCTGTATCAGGTGTACATGCGATATAGAAGCAAGTAAAGAACTTTATATTTTTATAATTTATTATGTAGGTATACAAATTAATCTACGTTGGCATAATGTATTCGAAAAATGGATTTATCCCACTTACTCACTTTTTAGGAAAGGCTAGTCATTACGAATACTTTCGTATCAAGCAGCGAATTTCATTCCAGTTATATATATGTTTTTATAATTATTTATTATTACAATATTATCATTATAATGAAGTGTATTTTGTTTACACTACTTTTTACTTAATGCATCATTGGAATAGTCAACAATTGTGAACGTGCTTATACGTATATTATGTTGCTTGAATTTTAATTGTCGTGTAATAAACTGAACTGAAATATTCACTTAAAGATTTGTTTCGATTTTACTTATGTAACATATTGGACTTATAAGATTTTGTTTTATACTTTTGCGTTGCATCACTGTAAAACGTTTTGTTTTATTTTAGTTTCTTATTTAAAAATCAAAATTATACATGTTATACACCATGTCAGAAGCTGCCCTTTTCATCGCTTTCAATATTTCTCGTTTTTTTTTCTATTGTATAACATTGATATCGGTCATGTCTTTAAAGATACGTTATTATAGTTGTTAAATGAACTGTTCATCTGTTATCTTTGCTAGATTATTGTTGCAGACGTTATGTTCTTTAGTATATGATTGTTTATTTTTGGTAGTGTTAAAAAATATGTAGGTACAGTTGCGGCCAATTTAAAGTCGTACACGGTTTTTGAACGTACTCCACAAAAATTTCAAAATTTGTAATGTGTTGATTAGGCTTTAATCAATCATGTAAATGTCATTGTCATTTTTTGACAAAACAGTGTCGGGTAATTTCTTAAAATGCCGCAATTATCTGAGCTGCAAAAATCCATCATTATAACAAGACTGAGAGACCGTGTCCCCATTTAATATATATAGCCGAAGAAGTAAACGTCGACAAAAAAACTGTTGCAAGAGCAAAACAAAAATTTGAGGCAACAGGAAATATTGCAAGAAAGCAAGATGCGGGCCGAGCAAAATGCTCAAATCAAAATGATGATACTCGCCTAGGAAACTACCTTAGGCAGCATCCGTTTGCAACTGTAATTCACGCAAAAGTTGCTACAGGTTTCCCAAGCTCCATACGAACAGCACATAGAAGACTAAAAGCAACTGAACTGAGAAATGGTTGTTCTGCTAATAAATGTTTAAAAGCTTCAGCATTTTTTACTTTTTTTTTCATTTTATAGCGGTTTGAGTTTCTTTAATAATTTATTCAATTGCAATCTTTGCAATTAATTTGCACTCCACGACACTGACTTATATGACATTAAAAGACGTTTTAGAAACTTCAGATTTAAGAGAAATTTACAATGCTCAAGTTTTGTATTTGAAAAATTGTACGACTTTAAAATGGCCGCAACTGTACTATACTTTCCAGTGCTTCATTCCAATAATTCTTTTATATACATGTAACTGTAATAGTCATGTGTTATATACATATAATAAGAAAGGTCCACTTACTTTGTGATGTGCACATTTTATATTTTAATATATTCTTTACGCGTTAAAGTTGTTTTTGATTATTTCAACTAGTTGAATAGTTTTTGTAAATTATTGTCTCTTCTGTACAATGTTCTATTTTTATAATATAATACGATTTTTATTACATTATGTTTAAACAAATAGTGCACAGAAGGATGCAATAATTTACAAATACTATGAAAAATAAATTATGATTTATTCTACAAGAATCATAGAAGTGTTTAAATGTCCCGCCTTTGACATTAGTTGGTCTGATGAGCTTAGATGGCGCCAACCAACAACAAGTCGGTAACATTGGAGATCAACTTCTATAAAGAGGACATAGTGAAGTCAACCAACATGGAGGACGAACGTGACGTCAAAACAGGACTTGAAGAAAGTTGTACTTTTATCTTTAAAAAGCGTAAGACACGAAACACGGACTATCGGAAGAGGCCGAAATCGAGTTCTGAAGAAGGTAAGTACCAAAATTTGTCGCAATCACGTGTCATTTATTAACGTATCCATTTCGTCGTTTTAAAGGTTATGTTTTTCACTTTCTTCAGAAAAGTCCAACAGCAGCGACGAAGAACCGTCAGTGAAACGTCCAAACCATCGCAAGTCGAAGAAAAACCCCAATGTTCAAAGTACGAGTAAAAAAAAGCAGCAAGAAAATGAAAATGTTAATGACTCGAGTAGTGAGGAAGACCTCCTGGTTAGTTACAAGTCGAAGCGCTCCGCAATGGCCGAAGGCCCCACCGATCAAGGAGCCACGGCGATTTTGGTGAGTGATCCTGTTACCACGACAAAGTGACCCTAAACCGTTTTTATACGTAGGAAATTGAAACCGAGCGAGACAGAGACGCGCAAGCCCTCTTTGAAAAGCGGTTAGAGATCAACAAAGAACTGGAAGGCAAAGAAGATGATAAAGTATACAGAGGGATTAACAATTATACGCAATACTACAAACCAAAGGACACCGCTGCGGGTAATGCCAGTTCCGGGCTTGTAAGAAAGGGCCCCATTAGGGCCCCGGCCAATTTGCGCGCCACCGTCAGATGGGACTATCAGCCGGATATTTGTAAAGATTACAAAGAAACGGGGTTTTGCGGGTTTGGGGACAGTTGTAAATTTCTGCACGACCGGAGCGACTATAAACATGGATGGCAGTTGGAGAGGGAGTGGGCTGAGGGCAAATATGGACAAGAAAGCGACGAAGACAAAAAATACGAAATCGATTCAGATGACGAGGATTTGCCTTTTAAATGCTTGCTTTGCAGGGAGAGTTTCACTGACCCTATTGTCACCAAGTAAGTATTTTTTTTAGGTTTTTTTCCACTAGAAATGCGTCATAATAATATAAATAATTATTTTTGATTTTATTTATTCAATTTTTGTAATTTACCTCTTCCTGTCCGCAAATTTGGACAAACTGTTATTTTTTGTGTAATTCGCGCTTAATTACGCAATTTATGTATTTCTGAACCCGTCACATTTAAATCGAGGCCGACTGACCTTCGACCTTCGTTCCAGATGCAAGCACTACTTCTGCGAAAAGTGTGCTCTGGAAAGATACAAGAAATCGGCTCGGTGCTTCGCCTGCAACGCCCAAACCAGCGGCGTCTTCAACCCCGCCAGAAAACTAATAGCGCGTCTCAACAACGAAGAAAAGCCGAAAAAGGCCGACAGCTCCAATTCCGACTCGGACTGACTCCGTCCACCAAGACCTTCACAACAAATAAGTACTACTAAATAATATCACGATAAAAAAATAAATGTTATGTATATAAAACTAAACTGGTTTTTGTGGACAAACCTACACACTTGTCCCGATCCTCCGGAACGAAATAAAGCGAGACGGACATAGCGGCGCATTTCTTGCCTTCAAGGTGGGGTTCCAGTGAAAGGTAGTTGGATTCGGTGGAATAACCCCCATCCGAATGCGCTCGTTCTCTGTCTTTGTTTCTGCGGCTTGGGCGCATTCACGCAAAAGAGAAAGCTTGATGGTAGCGGCTAACAGTAAATTATTGTTGCGAGAAAGGCAGAGGCTTCAATTTGTGTGGTAGTTGTGAGAGCGGCAACATGGGACTGTTGAATGGGTGTGTTTTTGGCGTTTTGGTTTTTTTGATGGAGGGATTTAGGGCAGCGGCTGTTACAGGTAGGAATTGTTGGGTTTTGTGTGTTAGTACTTATTTAGTTCGTGTGAAAAAAAATTTAGACAATTGGAAACAAAAGATCTTTATTTTCAGAACGGGATTTTCTTTGTCATCGCCGAAATAGTTGACATTAACATTTTTTTTTTTGCTATAAAACCGTCGAATTTTATATAAATGGTGAAGGTTGCTTAACGCTGCAGGTTTACTCATTGATGTGTGTTGCATTATTAAATGCTAATTTCAATGTCTTTCGTCTACGGGTATTGCATGTAAAATGATCATTAAACACCACTCATAAAACTAATTAGTGCGTCATTATTTTATACTTATCTAGAGTCAAATGTCGTCTTCATAATCGCACATATTTTTATATTCAACTAAATTCAAACAAGTAAGTATTCACTTACAAGGACATACAAGATTTTTCGTTTTATTGTGTCAAACGTGAAAGAGAATTTTAATTTTATAATTTTTTGTATTGAAGCTTTGTTTAATATTCATTGAATCATACTGCTGTGATTGTCTAGCATAATGTTACTGAATTTATACAGTTCTAATCATTTGCTTAAAAAAAACGTGTCTAGGCAACTACTATACAGGCCCCCTACTTTTAGCCTGGTTTTCAAAATAACTTTTAAAAAGTTAAAAATTTTAAAGAATTTGCCCGCTTTTTCCAAACGTACCCTTTTCAAAAAAGTTAACATTTCAAGGAAAATACACCGTTTTTTCAAACAAGAATACGGTTTGGTCCAAACAAATTTCTCTTTCAAAAACACTTAGAATTCGTCTTTTATACCCTGTTTTTCTGCTGGGCTACTTCAGAACAAAAATGAATACGGTTTTAGCCTGGTTTTCAAAGTAACTTGTGAAAAGATAAAATTTTTAAAGAATTTGTCTGAGTTTTCGAAGTCGCCCTTTTTTTAAAAAAGTCAAAATTTTAAGAAATATATCCTGTTTTATAAAACGTGAATACGGTTTCGGCCAAGAAAAGTTACCATTTTAAAAACACTTAAAATTCGCTTTTTTACTGTTTTTTTCTGTTGGGCTACTTCAGAACAAAAATGAACATGATTTTGGCCAAACAAATTCCCCTTTTAAAAACACTCAAAATTAGGACTTTTTTCCTGTTAGGCCCCTTGAGAACACAACACATTTTTAATGCTTTTAGCCTGATTTTCAAGATAACTTTTGAAAAGTTAAAATTTTTAAAGAAATTGCCCGGTTTTTCGAAGTCACTCTTTTTTAAAAAAGTCAAAATTTTAAGAAATATATCCTGTTTTATCAAACGTGAATACGGTTTCGGACAAAAAAGTTACCATTTAAAAAACACTTAAAATTCGTCTTTTAACCCTGTTTTTCAGTTGGGCCATTTTAGTACACACATGAATACGGTTAGCCAGGTTTTCAAGGGTTAACAGAAAAGCAAAAAAATCGCCATTAAATATTCCCCAAATTTGAACTTTTAAATTTTTGTCACTAAAAAATGTTGATTTCCAAGACTTTTAGACAAGTTTTTTCAACTTATATTTTGATTCTAAGATTAAATATTCTTTTTATAATAAATGGAGCAGCTCGAATTATTGAAATACAAACAATTTGAAGATAAAATAGATTGGAAAAAAATTTCAATGAGTCAAAACTTATCAGAAGCCTTTATAAGAGAATTTCAAGATAAAGTAGATTGGAAAATGATATCATGGAATTACCAAAAGCTATCAGAAGACTTTATTAGAGAGTTCAAGGATAAACTAGATTGGAATGAAATATCGCAACGCCAAACGTTATCCGAAGACTTTATAAGAGAATTTCAAGATATAGTAGATTGGAAAATGATAACAAGATATCAAAAATTATCGGAAGACTTTACAAGAGAATTCAAGGATAAAGTTGATTGGGAAAGTATATCAAGGAGACAAAAGCTATCAGAAGACTTTATAAAAGAATTCGCGGATAAAGTAGATTGGGAAGGTATATCATTGAAACAAACACTTTCCGAAAATTTTATAAAAGAATTTAAAGATAAAGTTGATTGGTTCTATATATCAAATTCTCAAAACTTGTCGGAAGACTTTATAAAAAAATTCAAGAATAAAGTTCATTGGTATGAGATATCATGTTGGCAAAACTTATCGGAAGACTTTATAAGAGAATTTGAAGATAAAGTAGTTTGGGAAAAGGTATCAAAGTACCAAAAATTATCAGAAAATTTTATAAGAGAAGTTCATGACTTTTTGACCTGCGGAGTCGTAGAATATGACGATAATAAGAGAGCGATAAAAAGAAATGAAGATGTTAAAAATTATGAATATTTTACGGGGAGTAATAGATCACCCCCCCATAAAATTCAATAGAATTTACACCAGTTTTCAAGACAGTTAAAAAAATATAGGAGTACATATACATATTTCAAGTATAAATTTCAACTATGAAAATGTGTAGCATACAGTATTCCTTAGGTGTATCACAGACGATTAATTAGTTTTATTATTTGATCGATAAGACCACATTTAAATCCAAAAACTGTCAAGTCAAATTTATCAGATTTAACTAATGTATTCGAAATATCATCAAATTCATAATACATTTTATCTTTAAACAAATATAAATTTCTATATCTGAATGCTCTGCTTATATTTGGAGGTATTCCAGCAAATAATTCTGAAATAAGGCCATTTTTCTTTGATCTAAACAAACACTCATCAAACTCAATGTACAAGACTTTATCATAAAATATATATGTTTTTCCAGAATAACTTCTAAATATTGCATCAATTCTTTTTCCTTTTGGTATTCCTAAATTTTCAATAGATTGACCGTTATATCCACTTTTAACATTAAAACTTGGAAAATCAATTAAATAATATAAATTTTTAACAACCATTAAAACATCGCCTGAAGGTCTTTGATAAATATGTGAAATTTCTTGAAAATCATCTGGCAAAAAATATAAATAATCTTTAATTAATTTTGGTTCTTTATCATAATTCATGTCTTTTAAATTGACTAACCAAACATATTTCTTATAAAAAATATACATATGATGATTTGAATTAAGAATGTATCAATTTCTTTATTAAAATCACATAAATTACCGAATATACCTCTAGGCTGACCTTCAGGGACGCTTTGCCTTACACAGGCGCGGATCCAGGGGGGGGGGGGGCAATGGGTGCAATTGCCCCCCTCTGACGCACGACCGAGGTACTTTATTTTGACCAATTTCAAAATTTTGAAATCGCATTTCATTTTGTAATTACAGTACAATCTCTATAATCCGAACTACGATTATCTGAACGTCCAGTAATCCGAACAGAGGCTATTTGAAGTCGATGCCTCTTTAATCCGAACAAAAACTGTGCAATCCGAACTGAACTTGAAAACATGCACCTACTTGCAAAAATGACGCAAGATCTTTCTGCACATGTTGTATGGAATATTTTGAAATTTTTTAAAATTACGATATTTCAATGCACGGAATTAATTAACTAATTCTGGAAAAAAGGTTGAAGTTATCGAAGAAATGAGACCCGAAATCTATAAGAGAAAATATTTAGTTAAGTTTCGAAAATGGGTCGAAATTTGTATGAGGAAAATTTCATTTTTGAAAAAGTTTCCTAAAAATTCTGAAAAATTCAGGGATATATATCCCGACGTGCTGATTCCAAAAATATAGCATGTTTATGGCAACGGAGCAATATTTTCAGAAAATTCGCTTTAAAATTCGACTTTTTCGAAATTTTTAAAAATTGCAATATTTCAACTGGACGATTCTGGAAAAATGGTTTAAGTTATTGAAGAAATGAAGCCAAAAGTGACTTCTGAGGCCCAAAATCTACAAGAAAACGTATTTAGTTAAATTTCCAAAATCGTCGAGAATGGGTCGAAATTTGCATCATGGAGGTAATACGAATACATAATGGAAAATGTCCTTTTTGAAAAATTCATCTAAAAACTCTGAAAAAATTCAGGGTACAGATCCCGTCGTGTTTATTGCAAAAAAATTGCGTGTTTATGGTCACGGAGTAATATTTTTTTAGAAAGTATCTATTATTATCCATTGTTGCTTAAGAATTCTTTAATTTTGTTTAATAAAATTTAGGTTTATTTCTTGAAATTTGTTTTCAGTTGTGTATGAAGTTGTTATTCAATGCCCTTTCAGATTTTTGGGAAAATCGCTGATCCGAACAAATCGTTAATCCGAACACACCTTTTTCCCAATTAATTAGGATTATCGAGGTTTTACTGTACACTTATACGTGTAACGAAAACTTGAACCTACGCAATGAAATCGGTAAATTAAATAACATCTTACCTTGTGAACAAACCAATTTTGCTGATATAGATGCACAGAATGCAAAAACTTCTTACCGGAATGTAGTTACGAAGAATTCCCAGAAGACGATAATAGTAAAGCCAAAAGACGATAAACAGTCTACTAATAAAACAAAATTTGATGTTATGAAAAGTGTTGATCCTCTTAAAGACGTCAACATTGGAAAAGTTAAGAATTTGAAAGATGGCGGTTTGCATTTTCAGAACAACAAGACTCTCTTCTGTTTATATTTCGCATTTGTGAGATCAAAATTAGAATACGGTTGCACTATTTGGTCTCCCGGTTATAATACGCACTGCCTCAAAATAGAGAATTTACAACGCAAATTTTTAAAATTTCTCCACTTTAGAGCATTCGGTTTTTATCCGGATAGAGGTTTTCCTCATGATAATCTGCTATCCATTTTCTCAGTTCAGAGGTTAGAAATGAGACGTGTTATTTTGTCTTTATGTTTTCTCTTTAAACTTGTAAATGGTAAAATTGATTCAGACGTACTATTGGGAAAATTGTCTTTCTTGGTAGCTAGACTTAATACCAGAAATCCAGAATGTTTTTACGTTGAATTTTCAAGAATAAACGTACATATGTTTTCATCTATTGTGACTATGTGTCGTAACTATAATTTATACAGAAATCATTTTGACCTATTCAACAGCAGTATCCGCCAAATTAAAAGTTTGCGTTTATAATTTTCAATTAGATTTTCTCTCTCTTTTTTTTTTCTTAATTCTTTCCCATCCTTATAAATGGTTTATCTGTTAGGATGGCTAAATAATAATAATAATAATAATAATAACCGTCAATATCATTTTACATTATGTATATTTTAATTTGTTCCTCATCCTGGTTCCAAACAGTTTGTATTGTTGACCCATCTCAATCAACAGTGCATTGTAATAGCGCAAGATTGCTCGCATACTTTCCTTCTTAAACTTCCAATGCATGTCTGTCATCGTTTGCCTGAAAAACATCTTAGTTTGAAAATACACCAATTCTTTGAAAACTTAAAAAATGATTAAAACTTCAAAATCGTGATATTCAATGTTTAATAAACCAAAATTTTGACCAACAATTAATAGTCATCTTAAATATGCAAATACATATATCAAAATGATCACAAATTTTGCAGCAACAAGTTGTAAAAAAAATATATTATAGTTTGAGTTTGAAGAGGGCGCAGAGGCGCTGTTTTGTTGATTATTGTGTGTTATCACAACCAGAGTCCACGGTTGGATCTGTTGAAGGGTTTGAAGAGGACGCAGAGGCGCTCTCATCTGAGCTTATATTCTCTCCTGCTCTGCAAGAACAAAACAACCAATATAAAGTAAACAATTGAGCTTGTTTATAAATTCTACTTTTTGATCCCGCGAGTCGAATATCAACGTGATTTTCAATGCTGGATGCAACCATATCTGTACCAAGTTGTAAGGGGTCAAATCCAAGCGCTGGGGCGGTATTTGATTGAAATCCCGTCAAGCCTCCAGGAAAGAGGGGAAAAGGATCCATTGAAATTACCCCGTTTAGGGGCACTACACGTGTTCGCAGATCACTTGCGTTGATGATTAATGTACAATTATTTAAAAAGGCCATCTTTACTGTGTGACGACTAATTTCAAATTGCTTAAACTCCTCAACAAGGTGAGTTTTTATTCCATATGTCTTATCTTCCATTTTTCGTTATGCACAAAAAATTTTAGCGATTAGATGGCAGAACTCTGTTTTTCGAACTCGACAAACTTCAACGACTAAAACTTGAATGAAGATAGACTTATTTTCCGAAAAAAATCTGAATTAGAAGTTAGGTGTTTAAATATCAGGGTAAAAAGTCAAATTCAACGTTGTTAATAATTTACTAATAGATAATCCGATTCCAATTTTATAAAAATATATGTAACATGTCAATTGCAAAAACACCTCGAAAATTTCGCGTAGCTTCATGAAGCAAAGCCGAATTCTTATTTTTCATAATATCATTTGAGCCCTTTTTCTTGCCAATTTTATCCCTTGCCCTCGTCCTTGCCCATGTCTCCGGCTCGTTCGGCTTCTTCGTTTTTTTTTATTCTTTTTTAAACCATCTCCGAAGACTTTCTGTGCTAATTTAGTTTAGTTCATAATTTAGTTAATTTAGTTCAGAATTTTAAGTATTTTTAAATGGTAACTTTTCTTGGCCGAAACCGTATTCACGTTTGATAAAACAGGATATATTTCTTAAAATTTTGACTTTTTTAAAAAAAGGGCGACTTCGAAAACTCGGGCAAATTCTTTAAAAATTTTATCTTTTCACAAGTTACTTTGAAAACCAGGCTAAAACCGTATTCATTTTTGTTCTGAAGTAGCCCAACAGAAAAACAGGGTATAAAAGACGAATTTTAAGTGTTTTTGAAAGAGAAATTTGTTTGGACCAAACCGGATTATTTATATTTTTTGGCAGATGATTTTCAAGAAATTTCACATATTTATCAAAGACCTTCAGGCGATGTTTTAATGGTTGTTAAAAATTTATATTATTTAATTGATTTTCCAAGTTTTAATGTTAAAAGTGGATATAACGGTCAATCTATTGAAAATTTAGGAATACCAAAAAGAAAAAGAATTGATGCAATATTTAGAAGTTATTCTGGAAAAACATATATATTTTATGATAAAGTCTTGTACATTGAGTTTGATGAGTGTTTGTTTAGATCAAAGAAAAATGGCCTTATTTCAGAATTATTTGCTGGAATACCTCCAAATATAAGCAGAGCATTCAGATATAGAAATTTATATTTGTTTAAAGATAAAATGTATTATGAATTTGATGATATTTCGAATACATTAGTTAAATCTGATAAATTTGACTTGACAGTTTTTGGATTTAAATGTGGTCTTATCGATCAAATAATAAAACTAATTAATCGTCTGTGATACACCTAATGAATACTGTATGCTACACATTTTCATAGTTGAAATTTATACTTGAAATATGTATATGTACTCCTATATTTTTTTAACTGTCTTGAAAACTGGTGTAAATTCTATTGAATTTTATGGGGGGGTGCTCTATCACTCCCCGTAAAATATTCATAATTTTTAACATCTTCATTTCTTTTTATCGCTCTCTTATTATCGTCATATTCTACGACTCCGCAGGTCTAAAAGTCATGAACTTCTCTTATAAAATCTTCTGATAATTTTTGGTACTTTGATACCTTTTCCCAAACTACTTTATCTTCAAATTCTCTTATAAAAGTCTTCCGATAAGTTTTGCCAACATGATATCTCATACCAATGAACTTTATTCTTGAATTTTTTTATAAAGTCTTCCGACAAGTTTTGAGAATTTGATATATAGAACCAATCAACTTTATCTTTAAATTCTTTTATAAAATTTTCGGAAAGTGTTTGTTTGAATGATATACCTTCCCAATCTACTTTATCCGCGAATTCTTTTATAAAGTCTTCTGATAGCTTTTGTCTCCTCGATATACTTTCCCAATCAACTTTATCCTTGAATTCTCTTGTAAAGTCTTCCGATAATTTTTGATATCTTGTTATCATTTTCCAATCTACTATATCTTGAAATTCTCTTATAAAGTCTTCGGATAACGTTTGCCGTTGCGATATTTCATTCCAATCTAGCTTATCCTTGAACTCTCTAATAAAGTCTTCTGATAGCTTTTGGTAATTCCATGATATCATTTTCCAATCTACTTTATCTTGAAATTCTCTTATAAAGGCTTCTGATAAGTTTTGACTCATTGAAATTTTTTTCCAATCTGTTTTATCTTCAAATTGTTTGTATTTCAATAATTCGAGCTGCTCCATTTATTATAAAAAGAATATTTAATCTTAGAATCAAAATATAAGTTGAAAAAACTTGTCTAAAAGTCTTGGAAATCAACATTTTTTAGTGACAAAAATTTAAAAGTTCAAATTTGGGGAATATTTAATGGTGAAAATGAGTTGTTCACGATTTTTTTGCTTTTCTGTTAACCCTTGAAAACCTGGCTAACCGTATTCATATGTGTACTGAAATGGCCCAACTGAAAAACAGGGTTAAAAGACGAATTTTAAGTGCTTTTTAAATGGTAACTTTTTTGGCCGAAACCGTATTCACGTTTGATAAAACAGGATATATTTCTTAAAATTTTGACTTTTTTAAAAAAGAGTGACTTCGAAAAACCGGGCAATTTCTTTAAAAATTTTAACTTTTCAAAAGTTATCTTGAAAATCAGGCTAAAAGCGTTAAAACTGTGTTGTGTTCTCAAGGGGCCTAACAGGAAAAAAGTCCTAATTTTGAGTGTTTTTAAAAGGGGAATTTGTTTGGCCAAAATCATGTTCATTTTTGTTCTGAAGTAGCCCAACAGAAAAACACAGTAAAAAAGCGAATTTTAAGTGTTTTTAAAATGGTAACTTTTCTTGGCCGAAACCGTATTCACGTTTGATAAAACAGGATATATTTCTTAAAATTTTGACTTTTTTAAAAAAAGGGCGACTTCGAAAACTCGGGCAAATTCTTTAAAAATTTTATCTTTGCACAAGTTACTTTGAAAACCAGGCTAAAACCGTATTCATTTTTGTTCTGAAGTAGCCCAACAGAAAAACAGGGTATAAAAGACGAATTTTAAGTGTTTTTGAAAGAGTGGACCAAACCGTATTCTTGTTTGAAAAAACGGTGTATTTTCCTTGAAATGTTAACTTTTTTGAAAAGGGTACGTTTGGAAAAACCGGGCAAATTCTTTAAAAATTTTAACTTTTTAAAAGTTATTTCGAAAACCAGGCTAAAAGTATTAAAAATGTCTTGTGTCCTGTATAGTAGTTAGGCACCCTCTATAAAAATTTTTCTTGTCAGCTCTATACATCTCATACAACTTGTGTTAAATTTGTAAACCTCTGCAAGAATTTTTGGCCTTCACATATATTGCGGCACTCAGAGTTCATTTCCCCTAAAATTCGCACCGAAAATCTTTTGTTTACTTGCAAAACCCAATTAACCAACGTCCTGTCTCTATTTTCCTCACATTCCTCACCATCCAAAAAACCCGAAGAAAGCGACACTCCAAATCCAATCTGCATCAACCCAATGATCCGTGATTCGAATTATCAAATTAAGATTAGAAACTCCGATATGGTCCCTGGCCAACGTTCACGCTTTTCTTCCTCAAATCGAATGACACGCAATTTGTTGTGGTTAAATCCAAGCAAAAGAAGCGATTATCGGAATGACAGCGTGACTCATCCCGCGATCTGAATCACATTGTCCATCGAAATTCAATTAGATTTCGCTTCTTGTCGTAACACTCGATTGCGCGCCCAAAACGGGGGAAGTTCACCCCGGCGCTAGCCAAGCGTTAATACCAGGAAGCGGACAAAACCGCCATAAATGGTACTGATTAATTGACGCTTCAGGACCGACCCATGGGAAAGTGGTCGTTTGTTATCTGGGCACATGGTCGGTGTACAGGCCGGACAGGGGGTCCTTCACGATCGAACATCTGGATCCGACGCTGTGCACCCACATCGTGTACTCCTTCGCTGGGTTGGACATCGCGACGGATGGCATTAAGGCGCTGGGTTGGAAATTTATATTGGGTTGTTGAATTCGTAATCATGGGTTTGTTTTAGATCCGTTCCAGGATTTAGCGGATGATTATGGGAAAGACGGGTACCAGAAACTGACAAGACTGAAACATAGATATCCACACTTAAAGGTGACTTTGGCTATAGGGGGGTGGAACGAAGGGTCCGAAAACTATTCCGCTATGACGAGGGACCCAACTAGAAGGCAGAGATTCATATCAAGTGCGATTGATTTCATCAGGTAAAAATTCGATTTATTTAGTTATACTTTCTGAGAAAAGCGAAACCTTATTATTCTCATCAACTGATGTGTTAACGAGACTGTTCCGACTTAAATAGAAAATATCAATAGAAAATAATTTACTGCTTCTTTTGCATAAAGCAGTTTTTTTGGAAAGCCAATTTCGTCTATTCACTGCGGTCATGTAATAGTCCGCAAAAAGTGCCAATTTAAACCGAAGCCAGAGTAAATTAGTGAAATTAAATCACCATCAAACAAGAATCAGTATTGATGGCAATTTATATTTAAAATAAGAAGAGTAAAAAAAAAGTTTACAATAGCGCGCGATTTTCTGAAAGACGGTAAATACACAAAGAGCGATGCGTCAGCGTTTTTTCACCCATTTGAAACTGTTCTTGTTGAGGTAACGCGGTGTGACGAAGAAAAAACCGGGAACCGTTTAAAACAAACTGATTAGTGATTATCTAGTGTGTGCTTGGTAAATGGGCGTGACTGATGGTAGACATGCTCATCACGTTGCGTGATAAACAACCTTTTTTACTTCCCGAGCGTAAGCAAAGGAAGTATTGTAATCGAGTCCGTCGGCCGACTCTCTACTTTTACGTTTTCTCGATCTTTCATGACCCCTAGAAGACGAAGAAATAGGTCTCCCATTTCCGTCTGTCTGTCCGTCTGTCCGTCTGTCCGTCCGTCTGTCCGTCTGTTGTCCCGGATTTTTATTAGACAGATAATCTCCGAAAGTACTCGACCGATTGTTGTGAAATTTTGTACTTATATGAAGAATATCATGTAGATGGTAAAACGCTAACCAAAATTTGTCTAATCATCCCCACCACTAATGCGATGACGTCACTTCAAAATTGTACATAGTAAATGGGTTTTCAATTGTATAAAATAACATAGTCCTACACATGTAGTTTACAACTCTGAATCGACTTTTCACCCGAAACGTCCAGATTTTTGGAAAAAAAATCAAAATTATAAAACAACATTTTGAAATTTAATTTTTAATCTGCTAACCAGAATGCTTTGAAATGTTGCAGATGTTTTAAGGCTATAAAGAGCGTCATAAATCTTTAGTCAAAAAATATTTGCTTATCCCCTCCAAAAACTTGATGACGTCAGCTCAAAAGTTTGTGGAATAAATCATATCTAAAATGTACAAAATATGATGAGTCTGTACTTGTGATCTATCACTCCATTCATATTTTTTGGATTTGCATATACAGGGTGACTCAAAAAATTAATGAATGCGTAAATATATTTTATTGATTTAATCAGGAACTACAAAACCGAATGCTCTGAAATCTTGCAGATGTTTTAAGGTCATAAAGAGCATAATAAATGTTTAGTCAAAATATATTTGCTTATCCCCTCCAAAAACTTGATGACGTCAGCTCGAAAGTTTGCCGAATAAATCATATCTAAAATGTACAAAATATGATGAGCCTGTACTTGTCATTTATCACTCCATTCATATTTTTTGGATTTGCATATACAGAGTGACTCAAAAAAATTAATGAATGCGTAAATATATTTTATTGATTTAATCAGGAACTACAAAACGGAATGCTCTGACATCTTGCACATGTTTTAAGGTTATAAAGAGCATAATAAATGTTTAGTCAAAATATATTTGCTTATCCCCTCCAAAAACTTGATGACGTCAGCTCGAAAATTTGCCGAATAAATCATATCTAAAATGTACAAAATATGATCAGTCTGTACTTGTGATCTATCACTCCATTCATATTTTTTGGATTTGCATATACAGGGTGATTCAAGAAAATAAATGAAAGCGTAAATTTATTTTACTGATTTACTCAGGAACTACAAAACCGAATGCTTCGAAATCTTGAAGATATTTTAAAATTATCATAAGCATGGTAAATTTTTGATCAAAACGTATTTGGTCGTCCCCCCCTAAAAAATTTATGATGTCACCACAAAATTTTGCTGAATAAATCCTATCTAAAATGTACAAAATATGGTGAGTCTCTTCTTGTGATTTATCATTCCATTCAAATTTTTTCGATTTGCATATACAGGGTGACTCAAAAAAATTTATGAATGCGTAAATTTATTTTATTGATTTAATCAGGAACTACGAAACCGAATGCTTTGAAATCTTGCAGATGTTTTAAGGTTATAAAGAGCATAATAAATTTTTAGTCAAAATATATTTGGTTATCTTCTACAAAAAACTGATGACGTCAGCTCAAAAGTTTGCCGAATAAATCGTATCTAAAATGTACAAAATATGATGAGTCTGTACTTGTGATTTATCATTCCATTCATATTTTTGGATTTGCATATGCAGGGTGACTCAAAAAAATTAATGAAGGCGTGAATTTATTTTATCGATTTAATCAGGAATTAGAAAACCCAATGCTTTGAAATCTTGGGAATATTTTAAAGTTATTATAAGCATGGTAAACTTTTGTTCAAAATGTATTTGTTCATCCCTCCTAAAAAAATTGATGACGTCACCCTTAAAATTTGCTGAATAAATCCTATCTAAAATGCAAAAAATATGATGAGTTTGTACTTGTGATTTATCATTCCATTTATATTTTTTAGATTTTCTTAAGAGGTGGTTCAAAAAAATTAATGAAGTCAATTTATTTTATTGATTAAATTAAAGGCAACACTTATTATTAGTATTACACCCCAACCAACCCAATTTGGTAGACACAAAATTTGTTAAAGGAAAAACTCGGTTGAAACATAAGGGTAGCACGCTTATTTACATCGACTTTAACATTACAGACCTGCATTTGTTTTATGCGCTCACTTGGTTCCGCGAATGTGAAATAGACATGTTTATAATCAACCAATTGTGAATTTCACCGTCAAGAATTAAAATAAAACCCAATGTTTTATATAATAAGCGGAAGTCGAAGCAATAAAACCGATGGTCGTTTTGTTTACAGTTTCTCTGTTTGACTCTCACGTATGCTGTTACGCTTGTCATCTTAAATTAAGAATGTTTATACATAAACGATTTTCAGTTGCCTCTGATACGTATACGTGAGTAAATTGTTTCGTTATTTTATTGATTATTACAAATCAATATTCAAAACGACCCAATTCATTTTCCCGAAAATTTGAGAATATAATAATTTTATTCTTAGTATTACACTACATCTATCCCAACTGATATACGTGCCCTTGCAAAAATGTTGATGACGTCATCGCATTTTTTTTTTAAATTCCCACTACAAAAATGTAATGAGAAAAAAAACACAATAGGCATGCAGTCGTCAAGTTTCCGACAGCGAGGGAAGTACTGTCTAAACTCTTTACCCCAATTTTTTTTTTTTGGTGAATGTTCGGTCACTGCAGACTTGACATTAACATTTCAACCGAATTTCATTTCAGAAAATACAACTTCGACGGGCTCGACCTCGACTGGGAATTCCCCGGCAAGCGCGGCGGCGCCCCTGAAGACAAGCTCAACTTCCTCCTCTTAGTCAAAGTAAGTCCAACCCTCACCCCACCCCTGTTCATCCAGGCGTTTTCTAGGAATTGCGCGCCGCTTTCGACAAATACAACCTCCTCCTCACCGCCGCCTTCGGCGCCGGTAAAGACACCATCGACATCGCCTACGACGTCAAGGGTCTCTCGGTCTACCTCGACTTCATCCACATGATGTGCTACGATTATCACGGTGCGTGGGACCAGAAGACCGGCGCCAACGCGCCTCTGCGCAGCTCCGACGTGCTCAACGTCGAGTTCTCCATCAACTACATGCTGAAACTGGGCGCCTCCCCCAAGAAGCTAGTCATGGGAGTGCCGCTCTACGGCCGCACTTTCTTCCTGCCCCAGCCGATTAATCCCGCTTCCGAACGCAAACCCAAACTGGGGGCGGTAGCTAGGAATGTGGGTTTCCAGGGGCCGTTCACGCGAGAGAACGGGTTCATGGGGTACAACGAGATCTGTCTGGAGTTGAACAACAGCTCGAAGCCGTGGATGAAGTACTGGGATAGCGAGTCCAGGACGCCGTTCGCGGTTTCAGGGAGCAAGGTGATAGCGTACGATGACGCGGATTCCATTAAGGAGAAGGTGAAGTTCGCTATGGAGAAGGAGCTGGCGGGGGTTATGGTGTGGTCGGTCGATACGGACGACTTTCATGGGGATTGTACCGCTGTGGGGGCGAATGGGCACTTTGAGAATTTCCCGTTGATGAGGGCGATTAACAAAGCGGTGGAGACGTCGCTGGAGGAGATCAGTGCGGATAAGGAGAATACGATTATTCATGGGAATGCGGGGCGGAAGAGTGAGGCGACGGGGCGAAGTAGCAGTGTGTTGTTTATGGTGGGCTCCACCATGTTGTTGTTTTTGTTTGTAAAATTTTAATGTAGTTAAGTAAATGTGATTTTATGTTAGGGATGCTGTGAAGTTGTACACTGAATGTAGCAAGGAAGGCCTTGCATAGACCAACACGTGTAAATAAAAATGTTCTAATTACAATTTTGTAGACAGTTGAAGAAGAAACAAAAGCAAGGTAAAGCACGGTTTAATCATTAGAAAAATTAATAAAATACACAAAATATGGAAACAAAATGCATCATATTCTACGTAGTTTGACCCTACAGCGACTGAAATTATTTAGAAAAATAGTAAAATTGGTCAAAAGTTGCTACGTTCTCAGTAAATTATATTCCGCTGCATCTAGACAGCCGTGTATTGTGGGTTGTCTAACTTGCCGTTGCACAAATAAATTTAATTAAACTTAAATAGTAAACAAAATAATAATAACATACATACTACAATAAATTTTGGTCGAAACAGTTTTAGTTGTAAAATTTAGAGACGCATTTCTACGTTTGTTCAAGGACGTAATACATATTAATAGTCCAATATCCCAAGATTACTATTTTCTCACAAATTAAATGTGTAGGATAAAGTAGTATTGGTATATAAAGTAGCCCAAGAGCTATAAGGATATATGACCATCATAAAAGTAGTAGACCGCAAATAAATACCCTCTTTGTGTGGTTCGCACCAAGCTTACCGGTTGGCAATAAATCGTCGTCTGAACATCATAGTCTAATAGGTCTTCAGTAATAATTAAGTAAAATTTTCACGCTTAATTATAACGATAATTACAGCATAATTAAATATGAATTCATTTGAACTCGTAATGAAAATTATGAACAAACCACAAACCGTTGTTGAGTTATGAAAAATATTTTTTATTGGATGTTCGAGAGAGATTTATGGTTTAAACAGCAATTAATTTAATAAAATAGTAGTTTATTTGCATGTTATGATAAGCAAAAAAATAAATAAATTTATTAACACGAAATTTCAAAATAATTCATTATTATTCAATAAGCTGTGATTTTTTTTTCAATCTTCGTTGTCATCATCATTGAAGTTTGATAACCCATCATCAATCCAACATTGGTATTAAGAAAAAATGGGCAAATATAAGCCCCGCCCACCCACCCCTGTCTCTATTGTGAAGAATATTTTATTCATCATGAGCTGAAGGGCGGAGTTTAGTGTGCAAAATCCTCATTTCTCTACAAGAAATTAACATATGAAATTCATAACAATTGTTTTTTTTTTTAATATAGAGTTTTCTTTCAACAACAGGAAAGTTAAACATGTTTTCAGTTTCTTGTTGGGAAAAGAAGACTTCATATATTAAGATAAAATGGACAAAATATTAGCCCCGCCCACCCACCCCTTCTCAATTGTGGCGAATATTTTATTCATCGTGAGTTGAAGGGCGGAGTTTAGTTGCAAAATCTTCATTTCTTTAAAAGAAATTACCATATGAAATTCATCACAATTGAGATTGGGGCGGGTGGGTGGGGCTTAATCTTTGTTTTTTTTTAATATATAGTTTTCTTTCAACAACAGGAAATTTAAACATGTTTTCAGTTTTTTGTTGGGAAAAAAAAACTTCTTATATTAAGAAAAAATGGACATTTTGCAGACTAAACTCCGCCCTTCAGCTCATGATGAATAAAACATTCATCACAATAGAGACAGGGGTGGGCGGGCGGGGCTTATATTTTGTCCATTTTTTCTTAATATAAGAAGTCTTTTTTTCCCAAAAAGAAACTGAAAACATGTTTAACTTTCCTGTTGTTGAAAGAAAATTCTATATATTATAAAAAACAAACAAAAATTAAGCCCCACCCACCCGCCCCGATCTCAATTGTGATGAGTTTTTCATTCCTAATCGGACCGAAGGGCGAAATTTAACTGAAAAATTCTCATTTCTCTACAAGAAATTATCATATAAATATGTTTTTACGTTTCTCTAAAAAATTCTACCTTTTGAAAAACATATTTCATATGGCAATTTCTTGTAGAGAAATGAGGATTTTGCAAACTAAACTCCGCCCTTCAGCTCATGATGAATAAGACATTCGTTACAATAAAGACAGGGGTGAGTGGGCGGGGCTTATATTTTGTCCACTTTTTCATAATATAAGAAGTCTTCTTTTCCCAACAAGAAACTAAAAACATGTTTAACCTTCCTGTTGTTGAAACAAAACGCTATATATTAAAAAAACAAACAAAAATTAAGCCCCACCCACCCGCCCCGATCTCAATTGTGATGAATTTTTTTATTCGTTGTGAGCCAAGGGGGTGGAGCTTAATTGCAAAATCCTTATTTCTCTACGACAAATTAAAACCATGTTTTTGAGTATCGTATTGTTCATAGAATACTACGTATATTAAGAAAAAATTAAAGCCAAAGATTAAGCCCCACCCATACCAACTTTGATCCAAATAATAATGAAGTTTTCATACGTTGGCAGACCTAGGGGTGAAGTCTAATTGCAAAACCCATATTTCCATACAAAAATTTATCATTTCAAACGTGTTTTAAGTTGCGAGGAATAAAAAAATCATCACAATTGAGATTAGGGCGGGTGGGTGGGGCTTAATCTTTGTTTTTTTTTTTAATAAATAGAGTTTTCTTTCGACAACAGGAAAGTTAAACATGTTTTCAGTTTCTTGGTGGGAAAAAAAAACTTCTTATATTAAGAAAAAATGGACATTTTGCAGACTAAACTCCGCCCTTCAGCTCATGATGAATAAAACATTCATCACAATAGAGACATGGGTGGGTGGGCGGGGCTTATATTTTGTCCATTTTTTCTTAATATAAGAAGTCTTTTTTTTCCCAAAAAGTAACTAAAAACATGTTTAACTTTCCTGTTGTTGAAAGAAAACTCTATATATTAAAAAACAAACAAAAATTAAGCCCCACCCACCCGCCCCGATCTCAATTGTGATGAGTTTTTCATTCCTAATCAGACAGAAGGGCGGAGGTTAACTGCAAAATCCTCATTTCTCTACAAGAAATTGTCATATGAAATATGTTTTTACATCAATGTTTCTCTAAAAAATTCTACCTTTTTAAAAACATATCTCATACGGCAATTTCTTGTAGAGAAATGAGGAGTTTGCAAACTAAACTCCACCCTTCAGCTCATGATAAATAAAACATTCATTACAATGGAGACAGGGGTGGGTGGGCGGGGCTTATATTTTGTCCATTTTTTCATAATATAAGAAGTCTTTTCTTCCCAACAAGAAACTGAAAATATGTTTAACTTTCCTGTTGTTGAAAGAAAACTCTATATATTAAAAAAAGAAACAAAAATTAAGCCCCACCCACCCGCCCCGATCTCAATTGTGATGAGTTTTTTATTCCTAATCGAACGGAAGGGCGAAGTTTAACTGAAAAGTCCTCATTTCTCTACAAGAAATTATGATATGAAATTTGTTTTTACATCAATGTTTCTCTAAAAAATTCTACCTTTTTAAAAGATTCATCACAATTGAGAAGGGGTGGGTGAGCAAATTGTCGCTCTGTTTCTGTTATTTTGTTAAATTTAATTCTGCGTTTATTTGTCTTTTTTTGCCAATTTATACATCATGTGTCAATAGTGAATGGCTCTTTAATAAAATAACGATCACTAGTTAAATTAATAGGAGTAATTTTTAAAGTTTGGTTTTGCGAAGTTTTTCAGGGTGGCCGGTTTTTTTGCTGTTTTTAATTCCATGTAAAGAAATGAGTATTTTGCAGTTAAGCTCCGCCCCCTTGGTTCATGGCGAATAAAAAAAATCATCACAATTGAGATAGGGTGGGTGGGCGGGGCTACATTTTGCCTTTTTTTCTTAATATGTGTAGTCATCTTTTCACAACAAGAAACGTGAAACATTTTTAAAATAGTAAATTAACGCTATATACTAATAGTACTTTATCCTATACATTTTATTTGTTGCTCTATAAGAAATTTGGATTGTCCAGGAGCGATTTCAGCGAGGCGGCAAATGCAAAAAGCGTTTAAATTCAAAGCAAAAGTGTCTTAAATCTTGAAATTAACCTAATTTACTTACCTAATAAGAGTAAACCCAGATTAATAACACTTGGTGATATTATTGATAATATATTTGACTAAATTAACCATGTACACACATGTACACAGAACACTTAGAATATTGCTAATAATGTATGTTATAATATATACATAACACGAGCACCGAAAAATCTTACATTTATTTTGGTCGTGTTTGTACGTTGACTAGTACTCGTCCTCGCCCCCCAATCCTCATCAAGAATAAATGTATCAAATTCCGGTGCTAAAACAGGGTAGGGAACGTACTTTTCACAATACACGCACATCAAAGAGTTCAAATACTTAAAAAATAAATCGTTCAATACGAGTTATTACATTTAAAGACACGGTGATGTAAACACAAAGTTGAATGAAACTTGAGATCACATTTCATTTTGGAATCGTGTTGTAAATTAAATCTAGCTTTGATCAGAACCTCAACTTACAATAGGCCTCGGACATTTAGTCGTTGATCAAATCCCAATCGCTGAGCACCATTTTACGAAAGCTTTGTGAAAGAATCAACAACAACACAATTATTAACAATATCTAGGCCACGAAACTGCCCGGGGGTTTGCGCCGAGAAAAATAGTACAACGTCGGGGAGAGAAATCGGGTAAACCGCTCGGGTCGTTTCGGTGGCGTTCGCAGGGTTTGCGGAGAAAACGGCAAAACTTAAAGGACCGAAATTAAAAATAAATAACATTTATGTACAGTTTATAAACATGGTACATCATAAAACAATAAAGTTACCTCTATATAATTATATCACTATTCTTTATTATATAAAGTGCGAAGTATGCTAATAAATTAAACGTTACTTAAAAAATTATAGGATGATTTATATTCCCAATATAGCTTCCTTTTATATCCGTAACAAATACAACAGGCTATGTTTACTTTAAGCGACTCGATAATTGTACTAGCTCTCATCGGTTAGTCAGTTTCAAACAACAGGTAACGTCAACGTTTCTCCTTTTAACAAAACCCCCATCAATACTACCCGGCGTATAATAACACATCGATTAATACTTAATTTGTGTAACTAGATTGTATGCTGAGGCACACTCATTGAATATTAAGGCTATTATTATAATACACGGATCGCCGGCTCGCGTGGCTGCCCAAGCCGGCGACAACACAACGTTAACCAAAATCTTACTCCCATATCTCCAAATTATTGTCTCGTGACACAGAAACCAACTCAAGTCGTTTTATACATATATGTAAGGAATCGGATTTACCGTGCAATTGAATATAAGGTCTTACATCCTAACATACGAGAGGATAAGAAGAGACGTGAAAGAACAACAACAACTGGAAAGGCCACGGTTTTCTGGCATGCCTGTTATACGTTGAAGCGCGTCTCGGAACCGTCGGCCAGCATGAGGGTCACCGTCCTGTTGTTTATCCAGATCAGTCTTGCCAAGCGCATGGGGTTGAGGCGGGCCACGTCCGCGATGGGGGCGGTACTGTACGACTTGATGCACCGGGTCTGCGACTGCCCGAGCCCGAACATGCCTGACGGCGAAAAAGTCAACTTTTAATCAGGCACGACGGACGCTAAAATCGCGCGGCTTACCTGTGCTCGTCTGCCAGAAACACAGCTTGTTCTCGCCGCAGGCGTAGCTCACGAGGAACTTGCCGTCGGGACTGAAGGCGGCCGCCGTCACCGGGGAGCCGTGGGCGTTGATGGTGGTGCACTTGCCTTGGCGCAGCTCGTACATGGTCAGGGTGCCGGCGTTCGAACCCACTGCCAAAACGATCGAGATGAAAGCCCAATTAAGTTTAATAAAATGGACAAATTCAAATGCGGTATAAAGTGTGTATAATTTCTTACCGGCAATTCTTCTTGTCGCGGGACAATGTGACACTTGATTAAAACGGCAAACTGCGGGGAAAACATCTTGCAATCCCTTATTTTTCAATTGACTAGGATCGAGACAGTGGAGAATTATGTCCATTAACTGAAACGAGGCGAATTTTTATTTTTGGAAGAGGATTTCAAAAAAAGCAAATAAGTTCATCACGCATTTAACAAGGCGTTTAGCGAAGTCTGATTGGCGTAGAGTCGATCACGTGATACGCCTCATTAAAAATTTAATCGCAATCAAATATTTAACCGAGCTTCTCTTAAAATGTTAAAAAATAACAAATTAATTTATTGAAGAAAATATAGCGACATTTCTGACGTCATACAATTTTCCGATGTCAATGTTTAATAAAATTGTCAGCCTGTTCGATGGATTTATAAAAGAAAACCGACTTGGTGGACCGCATTATAATCAAACGAATTAAAAAAAACATTAGTACAAAAAATTTACAGTTTTATATACCGAGTGACTCTAAATGTTGGTGATTTTTTTGTCATATTGGCAACATATGTAAAATTTTATGATAGCATACCTGATTGTCAAATTGACATTTACATACCAAATCATTAGTAAAAACCCTATATTAGTAATTATTTAATTAATATAGTGACTTTAGCTGCCATCTTGTCAACTCGTTTTATCAATCATTAGAGAACTTCCCTCGCTTTTGGAGTATAGTCCAACAAATACTGCAAAATTATAAAATTTGATTTCCCGGAATTTTACTTTTTCGTGATAACCTCTATGGAGTAAAAACAATGTAGAAGGTACCAGTCACAGTGTAATAGAAAAAAAGAAGGCTTCACTTTCTTAAAAAAAATGACAGTTGATTATTTGACTTGAATTGTTTCTTCAATTTTTCATTTTTCTTTGTTTCTTCATTTTTCGATTTGTAATTTTTCTAGTTTTCAAGTTTAAATTTTTCAATTCAATTTCTAGATTTTGCAATTTTTCGATTTGAGTTTTTTATTTGCTTTATTTTTACAATTTTTCAGTGTTCCGCTTTTTTAATTTTTTGTTTTTTCAATTTCAATTTTTCCGTTTGCCTTTTTTGAAGTTTTCTTTTTTCTTTCTTCAATTTTCCCATATGTAACTCATTACATTTTTAAATTTTGCAGTTTTTGGATTTAAAGTATCACGAGTTTTCAATTTTTAGATTTTTCAGTTTGTCGAAAAAAACGAGAAAGTATTGTTTTGGAAATTTCTTTGTAGCCTATAAAATTTTATTGTTAATAACGAGACGGACAGTGTGAGCCATAAATATTTCTTACCATTGTACTACTGTCCATCTCGTGATTGTCAATAAAATTTTATAGGGTAGAATGACATTTTCAAAACTATATAAGTTATTTTACGTGACTTACATTAGGAGTACAGTCCAAAATTATTGAATAATAGTTTGACTTTATGTTTTTTATTACAGTATCTATTGTTATTTTCGCCAACGTATGTAAAGAAAAAAAAAATCTTCTTCTTATATTAAGAAAAAATGGACATTTTGCAGACTAAACTTCGCCCTTCAGCTCACGATGAATAAAACATTCATTACAATAGAGACAGGGGTGGGTGGGCGGGGCTTATAATTTGTCCATTTTTTCTTAATATAAGAAGTCTTCTTTTCCCAACAAGAAACTGCCAACATGTTTAACTTTCTTATCCTTAAAAGAAAATTCTACATATTAAAAAAAAATTTAAGCCCCACCCACCCACCCCGATCTCAATTGTGATGAGTTTTTCATTCCTAATCAGACCGAAGGGCGAAATTTAACTGCAAAATCCTCATTTCTCTACAACAAATTATCACATGAAATATGTTTTTACATCAATATTTCTCTAAAAAATTCTACCTTTTTAAAAACACGTTTCATATGGCAATTTATTGTAGAGAAATGAGGATTTTGCAAATTAAACTCCGCCCTTCAGCTCACGATGAATAAAACATTCAGTACAATTGAGACGGGGTGGGTGGGCGGGGATTATATTTTGCCATTTTTTTTCTTAATATTCGAAGTCTTCTTTTCCCAACAAGAAACTGAAAACATGTATAAGTTTCTGGTTATTAAAAGAAAAGTTTACATATTAAAAAAAAATAACAAGCCCCGCCCACCCACCCGTTTTCAATTGTGATGAGTTTAACTGCAAAACCCTCATTTGTCTACAAGAAATTATCATATGAAATATGCTTCTACATCAATATTTCTCAAAAAAATTTTACCCGTTTAAAAACATACTTCATATTGCAATTTCTTGTAAAGAAATGAGGATTTTGCAAACTAAACTTCGCCCTGCAGCTCATGATGAATATGAACATTCATCACAATTGAGAAGGGGTGGGTGGGCGGGGTTTATATTTTGTCCATTTTTTCTTAATATACGAAGTCTTCTTTTTCCAACAAAAAACTGACAACATGTTTAACTTTCTTATTGTTGAAAGAAAATTCTACATATTAAAACAAAAAATTTAAGCCCCACCCACCCGCCCGATCTCAATTGTGATGATTTTTTCATTCCTAATCAGGCCGGAGGGCGGAGTTTAACTGCAAAATCCTCATTTCTCCACAAGAAATTATCATATAAATATGTTTTTACATCAATATTTCTCTAAAAAATTCTACCTTTTTAAAAACATATTTCATATGGCAAATTCTTGTAGAAAAATGAGGATTTTGCAAACTAAACTCCGCCCTTCACCTCATGATGAATAAAACATTCATCACAATAGAGACAGGGGTGGGTGGGTGGGGCTGATATTTTGTCCATTTTATCTTAATATATGAAGTCTTCTTTTCCCAACAAGAAACTGAAAACATGTTTAACTTTCTTGTTATTGACAGAAAAGTCTATATATTAAAAAAAAAAAACAAAACAAACATTAAGGCCCACCCACCCGCCCGATTTCAATTGTGGTGAGTTTTTCATTCCTAATCAGACTGAAGGGCGAAGTTTAACTGCAAAATTCTCATTTCTCAACAAGAAATTATCATATGAAATATGTTTTTACATCAATGTTTCTCTAAAAAATTCTACCTTTTTAAAAACAAATTTCATGTGGCAATTTATTGTAGAGAAATGAGCATTTTGCAAACTAAACTCCGCCCTTCAGTTCATGATGAATAAAACATTCATTACAATAGAGACAGGGGTGGGTGGGCGGGGCTTATATTTTGTACATTTTTTCTTAATGTATAAAGTTTTCTTTTCCCAACAAGAAACTAACGACATGTTTAACTTTATAATTGTTGAAAGAAAACCCTACATATTAAAAAAAAAAATTAAGCCCCACCCACCCGCCCGATCTCAATTGTGATGAGTTTTTCATTCCTAATGAGACCGAAGGGCGAAATTTAACTGCAAAATCCTCATTTCTCTACAACAAATTATCACATGAAATATGTTTTACATCAATATTTCTCTAAAAAATTCTACCTTTTTAAAAACATATTTCATATGGCAATTTCTTGTAGAGAAATGAAGATTTTGCAAACTAAACTCCACCCTTCAGCTCACGATGAATAAAACATTCATTACAATAGAGACAGGGGTGGGTGGGCGGGGCTTATATTTTGTCCATTTTTTTTCTTAATATTCGAAGTCTTCTTTTCCCAACAAGAAACTGAAAACATGTATAACTTTCTGGTTATTAAAAGAAAAGTCTACATATTAAAAAAAAAATAAGCCCCGCCCACCCACCCGTTTTCAATTGTGATGAGTTTTTCATTCCTATTCAGACTGAAGGGCGGAGTTTAACTGCAAACCCTCATTTGTCTACAAGAAATTATCATATGAAATATGCTTTTACATCAATATTTCTCAAAAAAATTCTACCCGTTTAAAAACATATTTCATATTGCAATTTCTTGTAAAGAAATGAGGATTTTGCAAACTAAACTTCGCCCTCCAGGTCATGATGAATATGAACATTCATCACAATTGAGAAGGGGTGGGTGGGCGGGGTTTATATTTTGTCCATTTTTTCTTAATATACGAAGTCTTCTTTTTCCAACAAAAAACTGACATGTTTAACTTTCTTATTGTTGAAAGAAAATTCTACATATTAAAACAAAAAATTTAAGCCCCACCCACCCGCCCGATCTCAATTGTGATGATTTTTTCATTCCTAATCAGGCCGGAGGGCGGAGTTTAACTGCAAAATCCTCATTTCTCAACAAGAAATTATCATATGAAAAGTTTTTACATCAATATTTCTCAAAAAAATTCTACCCTTCTAAAAACATATTTCATATGGTAATTTCTTGTAGAGAAATGAGGATTTTGCAAATTAAACTCCGCCCTTCGGCTCATGATGAATAAAACATTCATCACAATTGAAAAGGGGTGGGTGAGCGGGGCTTATATTTTTTCCATTTTTTCTTAATATGCGAAGTCTTCTTTTCCCAACAAGAAACTGAAAACATGTTTAACTTTCTTGTTGTTGGAAGAAAACTCTACATTTAAAAAAAACCATAACAAAAATTAAGGCCCACCCGCCCGCCCAATCTCAATTGTGATGAGTTTCTCATTCCTAATCAGACCGAAGGGCGAAGTTTAACTGAAAAATCCTCATTTCTCAACAAAAAATTATCATATGAAATATGTTTTTACATCAATATTTCTCTAAAAAATTCTGCCTTTTTAAAAACATATTTCATATGATAATTTCTTGTACAGAAATGAGGATTTTGCAATTAAACTCCGTCTTTCAGCTCACGATGAATAAAACATTCATTACAATTGAGAAGGGGCGGGTGGGCGGGGATTATATTTTGTCCATTTTTTCGTAATATGTGAAGTCTCATTTTCCTAACAAGAAACTTAAAATATGTTTAACTTTCTTGTTGTTGGAAGAAAACTCTACATATTAAAAAAACAAAAACAAAAATGAAGCCCCACCCACCCGCCCAATCTCAATTGTGATGAGTTTTTCATTCCTAATCAGACCGAAGGGCGACATTTAACTGAAAAATCCTCATTTCTCAACAAAAAATTATCATATGAAATATGTTTTTACTTCAATATTTCTCAAAAAAATTCTACCTTTTTAAAGACATATTTCATATGGCAATTTATTGTAGAGAAATGAGGATTTTGCAAAC